ATATATATCACAGATTTACCATTTTAACAGTTTTCAAGTGTACTGTTTTGTTAAATATATTTACATTCTAGGATAATCATTACCACAAGCCATCTACAGACTGTTTCATTTTACTTAACAGAATTGCAAACTCATTCAATAGTAATTCCCATCTGCCCCTCCTCCAACTGCTGGCAAGCACTGTTCTCTGTTCTGTCTTGATGAATTCATTTACTCTGGGAATCTCATAAAATGGGCATATAGAATATTTGTCCTATTGTGACTGATCATTTCATTTAGCAAAATGGAGAGAAGAAAATTTTCAGGAAGAGGTAGAACCCTACAGTATGAACGCTAATGAATAGTCAAATAAAGATTAATGGGTGGTATTTGTAGAATGTGGCATTTGTGATATTGAGGATCTTAGTTAATCCTTCCATGGAAGGGAAGAGACAAAAATTAGGATACAGTTAGCTGAGAAATAATTGGCAGAAGGGGAAGCAGAGGCTGCTTGTTTGTCAGGGTAGAAGGTGGTAAAGAAGGGTTTTATTTACAATGGTAGAGACTTGACCGTGCCTGTAGGTAGACTGAGCGGTATTGGGAATGGCTTACAAATAGGATATAAAGCAAGGGGCAAATTGAAGGGCTGGTGTAGTGGAGTAAGAGAGCTAGTTATATCAGACTTTATAATTTTAGTGGTTAAAAGCATTCTGGAAATTATTTATTAATAATTACATGTTTTCTGGTTTGTTCATGTTTGCTGTGGTGATTTTTTTTTTTTTCATTTATGTTAAAGATGACCAAGATAAAAAGGTGGAAACTCTTATGGCACCTTCAAAAAAGCAAGAAGCAATATTATCCCTCCATCAAGAGGTTAAACAAGAAAGTGGTGGATCAGGGAAGAAGAAAGTTTCATCAAAGAAGCAAAAGACAGAAAATGGTGAAATGTATAGATAATGTATTTTATAAATGCTAATTCTAGAAAAGTACACAAGGTCAAAGCTCCTAGAGGCCTCATGTGCACTTTAATTCCCAGTTTAATGTGTTCTGTAACAACTCTGATACCAGTATAAGACAAAAATACTGCATAGCCTCATAGTTTTGCAGTGCTTTGACAGATAGGCAAAGTATAAGTTTGTGATGACAAAGGGCAAATCATTATAGATATTCTCGTTCCTCATTCAGTTTTGAAAAAATAATGTAAATAGTTTTTGAAAAAAATAATATAAATTACATAGAGAAAAATATTTCTGAAATATTTGTACTTTTTAATATCATTCAAAGACTGTACTTGAGGATATTAGCTAGATCTAGTTTTACCTTTCTTTCCTGATGGTTTACTAAACAAAATTTACTTAAGTACATAACCATCCAGATTGAGCAATCTTCTATGTTCAGGTTGTTCTAGGGAAAGCTTGGCTATGACATTTATGTAGATTAAGCAACATCAGTTTCTAAATACTATTGGGCAGTGGTGTCAAATAGTATTGTTGGGTTGTCTGGAAAGTTATAACACATTTTTGCATAGAAAAGCAGAAAAATGAGGCTAGCAGGTGGCGTGGTAGTTAAGGGCACTGGACTCCCACGTGACCAAATGTGGTTCAAGTCCTGGACCTGGTGGCTGCTTTCTCTCTTTTCCTCTCTTTCTCCCTGTCCCCCTCCGATCAAATTAAAATACATACATGCATACATACATACATAAATACATAAGTACATAAATAAATAGTTAAATAGATTAATTCTTTAAAAAAAATCAGAAAAATATGTTATGGCTTTCCTGATGACCTAATAGAAAATAGTAAAATTGGAAAAAGACAAGATGGCATTATGTTTGTAATAAAAATGAAGACATATCAAGTAGTCAGGTATGAAAGGAATGTTACCTGAATATTTTTGATAACATTTATTATCAATTTTAAAAGAACTATATATGCATAAAAGCTTTTTTTTTTTTTTTCAAGGTAGGAAATGTAGAGGGATTTCTCTTTGGTATGGACATTTATATCTCTAACCAATAGATGCCAGGCATAGTGTTCATTCTCTTAGATCTCTCCCCATTAACATGAATAAAATCAGGAGGCTTCCTTCCCTCACTTGTAATGGTATTCTGGTAGTTTTTTGGCAAATGTAGCATGATGTGTCATGGAAATTAGAGGCATAATTATTAAAAATGAGAAGCTTTTTGCAAGGAACAATGACTATGATTTTTGTTCTTAGCAAGTGAAAGGAACTTAATTAAAAATTATCATTTGCAAGAAGAATTCAGTAAAGTACCATCATAAATAAAAAGCAATAGTTTTCCTTGAGCACTAATTAAATGTAAGTGGATTCCTCTGTTAAAACAGAAATATTAAATGAGAGCTAACTGAAGGATGTGTAAGAAGAGATTTTAAGATCCTGTTAGGACAAGATATGCTACATATTTTTAGGTGACGTGAACTGACTTACAATAAAATAATAATACTGAATTCGTACTGCTCACTTAGAAGACTGTTTTGACTTGTTAATTGATGAAATAGAAATTTAAACCAGATGAACCAGTATTAGAGGTTTGAAAATAACTGCATTTATCATTAAATTTAAGTATATTTGCATATTGTTTAATTATCCTGTTTTTTTAAAAAAAAACCCTGAGTAATTATAATTTTTGTCAAACTTAAATTTCAGTCTTGGTAGATGAACCTCTTATTCATGCAACTTCATATATTCCTTTGATGGATAATGCTGACTCAAATCCTGTCATGGATAAGAGAGAGGTTATTGATCTGATTAAACCTGACCATGTGGAAGGGATACAGAAATCTGGGGCTAAAAAACTGAAGACTGAAACTGACAAAGGTAATATACAGAATGTTAAAATCTTGTATCTTGTAAATGTGTACTATAAAAATATGTTTTTGAGTTCTGATTTGGTCAAGTGTATTTTCCAATAGAAACCATGTATTGTAAAAGAGAGATAGAAACAATCCTTGCATAAGAGACTTGCTAGTCTTACAGTCGAACTTTAATTTTGTAAACTCAAACACTGACTTTTGATTTGCCTACAGCTCTTTTGCCATTGATTGGTCTTTTCCCTGCTATTGTTCTGTCCTGTGAAGTTTCTAGGCTTTTTTTTTTTTTTTAATTACAATTACCCTCTGTTTCCCACACCCTTTTTAAAAATAAATTGCTTTTAGAGCAGTTTACAGGTTCACTTACAGGTTCTTGGCAAAATTGAGTAGAAAGTGCAAAAGACTTCCTGTATACCCCCTGTACTCATGCATGTACACAGCTGCTTTTAAAAACTTGTAATTTAGCTGAAGTGTTAAAAGCACTAGGCTTCTTTGGGTCTTATGGGTGGCCAAGTTTGTTTTTTGTTTTTTAAGAGAGATTTTTGCTATAGTGCATGTGTGCTCGCTGGAGAGACAGAGAGATAGAAAGCCCATATTCAGGAAATATGCCACGCCACAGTCCCTTCTCTTCCATTTTCCTTTCGGGATCTTGGGCACACATGCACATGTGCCTGGTGTAAGTTTTAAGTTGCCAGGTCCACGACTCTAGTAGTGGTTGACTATGTGGGAGTCTAGTGATGTATGCCATCTGCTGGTCCCAGGTGGCTGAGTTTTCTTTTTTTTTTTGAAGAGGTTTTTGCTATTGGGTGCGTGTGCTCGCCAGACAGACAGAGACAGAGAGATAGAAAGTGAGAAATCACTCCCTAGGGGGGATGTCCACACCGCAATCCCTTCTCCTCCGTTCTCCTCTTGGGATCTTGGGCACGCATGCACACGCGCCCGGCGTGAGTTTTAAGCCACCGGGTCTGGGATGTGAACCGCGGTCGACTACATGGGAGTCCAGCGACATAGCCATTACGCTAACTGCTGGTCCCCCCCCAGGTGGCTGAGTTTTAAGAATAGGAAATTGAGGTACCAGCAGATGGCATAATAGTTATGTTACTGGACTCTCATGTAGTCCACCGCAGTTTAAGTTCAAGACTTGGCGGCTTACAACTCATGCTGGACACGTGTATGTGTGTGCCCAAGATCCCAGAAGGAGAATGGAGGAGAAGGGATTGCGGCATGGCCATCCCCCCAAGGGGGGATTTATGTTTGTCTCTGTCTGTCTCTCTAGCAGGCACACGTGCCCAATAGCAAAACTTTTAAAATAAAAAAAAGAATGCAAAGTTGGTGCCTAATATGAGAGTCCAGGGAGAAGTGGAGTGGGTGAGTCAGGAGGTGTTTGATGCACAGATTTTTAAAATGTCATATTTGCTTGTATATATTTGATCTTTATAAGATCAGATTTCCTTTTGGTAATTATCTTAGCGCTTACTTTATCATCTGTGGAATTTGGTTTATGTATCTCCAAGGACTATTAATTTTTTTCCTTCTATTTCTTTTATACATTCAATCATGTTACTTAGCTTACAAAGTGAATATTCCAACATGTGTACATTTGTCACCAGTCCAGTTCACTATACTACAAAGTTATCTTCAGTAGATAATAATCCATTTCTTTGTCCCATAAATGCGTTGCCTCTCTATTTTTCTCTGAGGATTATTAAAGTTAAATGAAAATACTGCGAACATATCTAGTGCAGATACTGGCATATACCAGAGGAGTAAGTGATATGTTTTTGAAATGAGGCATACTAACATTTTAGTATTCTGCAGTTTGAGCAAAGTTTTAATTAATGTAATTACTCCATGTTATAGAGGACAAACACTTTATTCCTTCTTGACCAGAACATTGTTATTATATGACCTAAAATATAAATCTATTTTCTCTTGGGTTTTGATGCTTACCTTTGCTGAAGTTGTTGCTTATGTCCGTTAGATGTCAACTTTTTTTTTTTTTTTAATTTAAGAAAATGCAGAAGTGAAATTTAAAGATTTTCTTCTGTCCTTGAAGACTATGATGTTTTCAGAAGATGAGGCCCTTTGTGTTGTAAATCTGCTAAAGGAGAAGTCTGGTGTGATACAAGATGCTTTAAAGAAGGTAAGCATGTTTTTTGAATACGGGCATTTTGTCAGCAGTCATTAGAAGTTCACTAAATATTAAGAGTTCTGCCGGAGCAGCTAATTATCTACTCCTTTCCTTAATATCCCAACACACATATTCACAACTATAAGTTTGAAATACTTTTAGAAATTTTTTCATATATCCATACTAATCAGTGCATTTATTTAGTCAAGCATCTGTTGAGTCATCTGATGCTTTGACAAAAGCCAGTTGCTTAAAATAAGTAAGATGATTTATATTAACTTCAAAGTCATTTGACACTTGGCTAAGCTGTACCTTACTTTACTCTGACTCGATGTATTCAAGACAAGGCAGGTTGATTTCTGGATGGCATATATAGGATGTTTTTGTGACTAGAGATAGCACTATTCAAAGAACATAGAAGAGTGTGTGTGTGTGTGTGTGTGTGTGTGTGAGCGTGCGTGTGCGCGTGTGCAATATTACCTTCCGAAAGAAATGATTTGGAAGGCTGAGGGTGGAATTGTGGCATGAAGACTCTTTTGGGGTGCCTCTCTCTTTCCCCTTCCCTCTTTTCTGGAAGAAAGACGTAAATACACGTAAAGATTATCAAAGTTAAATGAGAAGAATATTGTGGACATATCTAATGCAGATACTAGTATATACTAGAGGCTAATACGGTGTCTGGTATTCAGTATTAGATGGTTTACTTAATTGTCCTATTCTTTTTTTTTTATTTTAATTCACGTTTAATCACATATATCTTTACAGTGTACAACATTTCTTTTTCCAGCATGAATACCATGCATATCAGTCAAGATAAAGACATTATATACATTATCATCACAAAATAGCTTTTCTTTTTTTGTCAATTAAATGTACTCTTTTTCTTCTCCTTTCTCCCTCTTGCTGCATTACCCACTCCCGTATTACCCCATCCTTACTATCTCTGGTATCTATGGTTGCCTTCTCTGCTACTATATTTTCCCAACTTTCAGCCTCTATATAGCACAGACAATTGGTGTATATTGAGTGGAGACATAAAGTCTGTCTTTCACCGTATGTCTTGCTTTGCTTAGCATTAAGTCTTCCATATTCGTCCACTTTGTATCAAATGTCAGGGTCTGTTTTGTTTTTAGGGTCTGTTTTGTTTTTATAGCTGAGTAGTATTCCATAGAGTACTCATGCCACTGCTATCATTGATATTAACAGATTTATCCTTGTCATCTTGTTAGCCATTTTCTCAGTTGTTGTTTTCCTATTTGTTTGTTTCTCTCTAGTTATCCTGATACAACACTCTCCTCGGTACTTCCTGGTCTGTTGTTTGTGAATTCTTTCAGTTTTTGTTTATCTTAGAATACTTTTATTTGTTCTTGCCATTTGAAGGATAATATTGCTGGATATAGTATCCTTGGTTGAAATTGTTTTTCTTTTAATATTTTGAATACATCTTCCTATTCCTTCCTTGCCTGCATTGTTTTAGCTGAGAGGACTGATGTTAGCCTAATGGGATAGACTTTGTAAGTAACTCGATGTTTCTCCCTTGCGGTTTTTAGAGTATTTTCTTTGTCTTCAATTTTTACCAATCTGGTTATCATGTGCCGGGGGAGGATCTTTTTGTGTCGATTCTTTTGAGGGTCCTTTGTATTTCTTGGGTCTGTATTTTTCCATGTTTCTCTGTATTTGGAAAATTTTCAGATAGTATTTCATAGAAGAGGTTTTCCATGCCTTTAGCAGATTCTTCACCTTCTAAAATACCCATTATACGGATATTTGGGCGTTTCATGGCCATGCTAGGATTTCCTGTATGTTGTCTTCGGTTTTTATGGGGCGTTGTTTTCTTTCCTTTTGGTGATTTGGTCCTTACTGGAGACTGTCTTTGAGGTCAGAAATTCTTTCTTCTGTGTGGTTCAATCTGCTTTTTAGGGAGATTTTAATTTCTTGTATGTTTCATTTCCAGAAGTTCTGTTTGATTCTTTTTAGGGTGTCTATTTCTTTATGAAATTCCTCTTTCATGTCCTGAAATGATTTTCTCATTTCCTAGAACTGATTGTCTGTTTTTTTCTTGCATCTCATTTAGTTTTGTTGTTATGAATATTTGGAATTCTCTTTCTGAAATTTCTATGTATTTTTTTGTGCTGTCCACTGTTGGTGAGGGGTTACTCCGCTCACCTGGGGAAGAGCTACCACTTTGTTTCCTCATGTTTCTTTGGGATCTGTTCTGGTTTCTAGTCATTTGATTCAGTGTTCAGTTTATTTCTATGGATTAGAGTAGATCCTGTAGTGCTGGTAGAGGAAATTTCAGCCTTAATGCCAGGTGTGTTTTTGTTGGAGGGCTCTATCTCCCAGGTCAGAACAGTTATGGGTAGCTTCAGGTATTTGACTACCCTACCAAACGTTCAGTTCTTGATAAGGTGGTAGCAAGCCATGGAGGTAGGACTTGAAGAGGATCAGCAGATTGCTATAACAAAGTTTTCGAAGTTACTTCCAGGCCTCAAGCAGACTGACCTAAAACATGCCTAGACTAGGCTCTAGACTCCCAGTGGGTGGGGAGGGGCCAGGCCACAGAAACAGTGGGTGACAGAGTCCAAAAGTTTCACAGCTGTTTCCAGACCTTGGGCAGGGCGAGGCCAGGCTGCCAGATGGTGGATGACGGAGTCCAAAAGTTCCCAAGTTGTTCCTAGGCCTCAAACCTTCTTATACGGGGGTCAAGACTCCCAGCAAATGGTGGATAAATGTCCTTATTTTAAAGCGCAGTGTACACACACACACACACACACACACACACACACATACACACACATAACCACTTACCTGCTTAAAAACTTTGACTAGTTTATTTTTTCTTAAAAGGTACTCTAGTTCAGGTCATCAACTCTCATCTGATTGCTTCAATAGTTACTGAATTGATGGTTCTGTTTTTCCTCTTAGCCCTCTGATCTCTTTTTTCCCATATAATTCAAGGTGACCTATGAGAAGAAAATCAGGTTATGTTTTTCACTGCTTTAGCAACCCTTTGCTGTCTTTCTCTTTGCAATAAGAACATAATCCAAATTCCTTAACAAGCCTATGTCTACCTCTTTCTACAGCATTGGTTAATGATACTGTCCTCATTCCCTCACTGCATTCACTATGCTAGGTCTTCTCTGGTGCTCCTAGCACATCAGACTTTTTCTTCTAGACGTCCGGTCTCCCTGCTGCTGCTCCCATCTCCACTTTCTGTCCATACCTAATTCTTCCTTCAAGTCTCCACTTAAATACCATTTTCTCATATAAGGCTAATCTGAATTTGTAATCTAAATTGTTTTCCCTGCTATGTTTCCTCATAATTATCTGGATTTTTTTGTCCTAACATTTATCTTAATTTCCTCCATACTTCTATATACTTGTTGACAGTGCATTTTACAAATCTAAGGGGTTTTTGCCATGTGGTATGCTTATTAGTCTTTACGTGGTGCTGACGATGGCACAGAGTAAATGAGTTGAGGATAATCAGTAAATGTGGTAACCACATGTGACTTTGTGTACACAATCAGACTGCTCCATTGCAGAGAGTTTGCTTGATTTTCTTGATGGAAGAATTTGTTCTTTGGTTGGCTTTGTTATAATTAGGTGAACACATACCTTAGAACCATTCTTAGGATTGGGAAAATCTCCTAGCAGGGAAAAGCCTCCAGCTAAAATTACTATATTACTATCTAACTGTTTAACATTAACTGCTTTTTGGCATTAAAAATAACTGCCTTAAGTGTCTCTCTTCTGACTAGGGGTATTACTTATGGGGGCAAGAATAGTCATTTTATTGTCTGAGACAGCTTTGAGCTCTAGAGACTAGGTGATAATTCAGCCTACCCCACAAATCGATTTTAGGCATGCTCAGGGAGAAGTTGGGGACTGTTAAAGATAGTGTTTGAAACAGAGCAAGTATTTGGAAAACTGTTCACATTTCCGCCTCTTCCTTGGAGCTGTTTGGCTTTGGATTAAAATCTTCTTGTTCTCAGTTTTTCGTGGAGTGGTTCTGTTCTTTACTGAAGGGACTCTGCCTTTGTAAGCACCTGAGAAAGACTGTACTTAAGAAAGACTAGGTTTTGTTTTTCCTTTTTGCTGCTGTAGAAGCTGAATCTTGGCAGGCCTTCTAAGAGATTTCACAGTCCCAGATATAAATGAATCTTGCTCCTAATAAAGCCTATTTCAGAGTAAAGGGGAAGATAAATGCAGGGTCATGGGCATAGGATAGAAAAAAGAGGGGTTTTGCTGGCCAGTTAGACATAGTGGTTAAAGAAGAGGATAGCTGCTTGTTTTCTCTCTTGAGTAACTGGATGCAGATTCTGGTGACAGTAGTATTTATTAGTAAGTACTTTGTACAGGAAGAGAGAGAGAGTAGAGAATTATAAAATTCATGAAGTTATTTTGGCATTGCTTGTGTCATTTAAATAAATATAATCAGTTCATAATTGAATATGTATTTCTCTGTTTAAGAAAGGTTCAGTGGGCATGATTTAGGAAAATAACCTACCACCAGTACACACAGTGAATAAATATTAGAAAGGTTGTGAGAAGTGTTAAGAACACTCACGAATGAACTCTGAGAAACACCACCATTTAAAGGAAGGTTACCACAAAGAATACAGAAAAGGAGCAGGAAGAACTGGGATGCTGAGAGAAAGGAATTGTAGAAGCTTAGGGAGGGTGGAGCATTTGTAGTGGGAGGATAGGATAGTAGTGATATGCTTTTGAGAGGTTAAGGAAGATAATGTTTGAAAAACAGTATTTTGATGTTTAATGAAAGCAGTTCGTTGAAGAACTAGACTGTGTATGTGACAAGTGAATGAGAAGGTGGCAGAGTCCACATGAATAAACTTAGGTGGGAAGGAGAAAATAAGTAAACCTGAGAGGGACTGCAGAGATGGAAAGGAGATGTTGTATTTTGTGTGCATTTAAGTTATAAGGTACTAGGTTTTTTTTTTTTTTTTTTTGGAGAGGTTTTTGCTATCGGGCGCGTGTGCTCGCCAGACAGAGAGAGACAGAGAGACAGAAAGCGAGAAATCCCCCCCCCACTGTGGATGGCCATGCCACAATCCCTTCTCCTCCATTCTCTTCTCGGGATCTTGGGCACGCACACATACACGCCCGGCATGAGTTTTAAGCCACCGGGTCCGGGACGCGAACTGCAGTCGCTACATGGGAGTCCAGTGACATAGCCATTACGCTAACTGCTGGTCCCAAGGTACTAGGGTTTTATATGTAGAATATAGGTTTAAGCTCCTGGACTCTGGAATCAGATTCTTGGATTAAAATCTGGGCTCTGCCACTTTGAACTTTGTGACCTTAGGTAAGTTACTTAACCTCAGTGCCTCAGTTTCTCTACCTGAAATGAAAATATATACAGATTTTTAGAATTAAATGATATAATACCTATTAGGTGTTTATAGAGTTGCTAACATGATATTAACTGCTCAAAAATATGTCAAATGTTAATATGATTGCTATTAAGAAAATGTTTATTATTAATTTTTTAGTGTTGACTTTTAAATATACTTGCCTAATTATATAGTTTTAAAAATTTTTAATTTTTTAAAATAATTTTATTTATTTATTTAAAAATAATCTTTATTATCCTTTTAAATTTGACCAGAGAGAGAGAGAGAGAGAAAGTGAAAAAGGAAGCCACCAGATCCAAGACTCAAACTGTGGTTAGCTATGTGAGAGTCCAGCACCTTACCCACCCCGGCACCTGCTGGCCAAAAAGTTAATTATGAACGGTTTTGGTCCTGTTCTATCTAACAGGAGGAATTAACTAACTGACAAGTTCTTTGTTGTCTTTATACTCAAATGATATATTGGTGGTGTACAACATTTCCAAGTTTCTCTTTATTTCCTTGGAAAGAGTTCATGCATCCTGTTTTACTATTCTCTACAGTCATAGAGAGAAGAGATCTATCTAATGCCAGCCTGAATTTTGTACTCTTTTCCGTGTATTATCACACTACATTCTCATAAGAACATTTTGGGGGGTAATCAACCAAGTGCTTATTATTTACTGGATTTTTCCATTGTTCACCCTACTGTACAAACATCAAAGGATTCAATTTCTATGAAGTTCAGTAATTTTACTGTAATAGGACTTGACATTGATTCCTCTATTAATTTTCCCTTGGATATGCAGTATGCTTTTTCAGTCATTAGAGTCAAATCAACTTTAAAAGAATTATTTTTTCTTTTGTTACGTCAGAGGAAAGAGCACCTCTCCCGTAACCGACCTACTCACCCTGCAGTCCTTGTCCTTCATTTCTCCATTCAGTCAGAATCCTGGATGCGTGTGCCTTAGCATATAAGCAGGTTGGCTCAGGACTCAGTCTTGGTCAGCCATGTGGAATCTGACTTCCCCTGCTCAATACTTAATTGCTGTGCTACAGGGCTTGGCCCTCAAGTCAACTTTTTAAAATTACTTTTATTTTTTAAGTTTGGTCTAGGGCATGTGTGCTCACCAAAGACAGACACACAGAGAGAGAAAGAGAGAGAGGGGCAAAGTGAGAAAGCAAGCCATCAGGACCTGTACTGTAACTATGATTGGCCATATGGGAGTCAAGCGCCTTAACCACCATGTCACCTGCTGGCCCCTCAAGTCAACCTTTCTTATTCGGAAGTTTTATACAATGTCCTTGAAATAACTGAAATGATGGGTTTCAGTTAGACACCTGTTCACTTTCTTTTGCTTTTTTTATCTTTCTTATCTTTTCTTTAAAAAAATAAAAATAACATGCCACTAAAGAACACTTTATTTCTATTTTTTATTTACTGTATCCATGCTGAACTCTGTGACCCACACTGTGTTTTAAATAGCATGTCTTTTTGTGTTTGTTGCTTCTGATTTGATTATATTTCTGGGATGGTACTTTCACTTCCGTGAGTTTTGCTAGCTCATTTTTCATCCCATTTCATTGTCTATTCTCTGAGGTCTTTTTTTAAAAAAATATTATTTTATTTAACTTTAATTAGTTAATTAATTAGAAATGGACAGACTGAAGGATGAGGAAGTGCAGAAGCAAGCCACCAGGTCTGGACTCAACCCATGGTCAGCTATGTGGGAGTCCAGCGCCCTTAACCACCACGCCACCTGCCAGCCCCTCCGAAGTCTTTTTTGTGAGCTCTCTTCTTTGTTCTTTTTCTTTCCTCCCCCTAGAGATGACTACTGCATTAGATTTTTAAAAATCATGGTAGATAAGTAGGTAAGTTAACCTCAATGCCTGAGTTTCCTCATCTCTAAAATGGGAATGATAATCAGGTTTTGAAAAGTAAATGCAGGGTAAATATTTTCATCATAATTTTGGTCGGCTCTTTGACAGCATTTTTCTCTTTTTTTTTTTTGTTTGTTTGTTTGCTTTTTTTTCTTTATGTTTTTCTTATTTTTATTTCTTCTTTTTAAAAAATGTCTTATATAGACTCTGTAATGTCTTTTTGACTAGTACTCCTCTTCCCAATTAGGGGTGTTCTTCTTGGATCATCTTTGAGCTGGAGGTTGATGATAATGAAGAGGCAGGGCTGGCTCTTGCACATGGTCTCAAGTGAAGAACACTCAGACCATGTGCAAATAAATTCTTAGTCTTTGACTCTGACTAGATAACAGACTCAGGCCTTTACTACAGAGTCTCTTCAACTCTGCCTCACTAGCTAGCTGCTTTCTTTGAGTAAAGTTTGTGTTATATCTTGATTATTCTTCGTTCTTGAGACCTCCTTCCTAGAAAGTTCCTGCCTTTAATCTTTGCACTTGTTCCTCACGTCAAATAGAGGATTGCTGATTTTATCTTTCAGGATATGCCTGGTAACTTGAGAGAACTATGTACCCTTGGCTCCTCTCTATTCTGCCAGGGTTGTCAAGTGCTTGATTTTTCACTGATTTTGGCAGTCTTTTCTGATGTTTTTCTTTGAGATTATAGATGGCTGTTTCATTAATAATAGATTACATTTTGGTTTTGTATTCTTCCTTTTGACTTTCCAAGAGGTAAAGGGGGAAATTGCTCTGCTGACTCTGGGTTTAAAAGTGGAAGTCCTGTAGTTCTTGGTAAAATTGTATTTTTCTTTTTCCTTTTTTTTCTGAGGTGTTTGCTATAGGGTGTGTGCATCTACCAGAAAGACAGAGAGAGACAGAGAAACAGAAAGCAAGAAATCACCCCCCAGGGGGAATAGCCATGCCACAGTCCCTTCTCCTCCATTCTCTCAGGATCTTGGGCACGCACACACATGTGCCCAGTGTGAGTTTAAGCCACCGGGTCCAGTACTCAAACCTCGATTGATTACATGGGAGTCCAGCAACATGGCCATTAAGCAAACTGCTGGTCCCAAAATTGTGTTTTTCAATTGCTATTGTATCCTCTTGGTGACTTTAGAATATATGAGGGGCCTTCAAAATATTTATGAAAAATGCATATTATGAAAAAATTATACCTGGATTTCAGAATTTTTGATGCCAAAATAAAGTCATACTTAATTTAATTTTTCTATGAACTTTTTGAATCCCCCTTGTGTGTTACAGGGACATTTCTGATTGCTGTTTCATTGACCAGTATTTGACGGTCATTCTACTTTAATACAGAACTCTGCATTAGTCTAGGAACACTTGTTATTAAATACCTAGTTTTCATTAGCTCATGTTAACTGTCACTACTTCTGTATTGGTTTTCAACTGCAGTTAAGTAAAGGAGAATTGACTACACTCGTACATCAGCTTCAAGAAAAGGACAAGTTGCTTGCTGCTGTGAAGGAAGATGCTGCTGCTACAAAGGATCGGTGTAAGCAGTTAACCCAGGTGAATACATTCTTGTGTTCAAGGGGTGTCCTTCCTGAATTGGAGGCAATCAATGGGAGGTTTTGGAAATTATCCTGATTTAATTTGTGTGATAAGTTTATACCCAAGAAAAGTGGTGTCTCATTCTTTTATGATATTATAGCCTTTAATTGAATTATGGTTTTAAAACAACAGTGCTTACAGATACCCTAATTTCAGAATAGCAGATGCATTCTGTTCAGAAGCATGGGGGTTCATTTAATTGGGTTTGTCCTGGATCTGTTCTTTGTAGAAGCACAATACTTGGTGTGATAATGTTTAAATTCAATTTATAGGAAAAATGTGAAGGTTTTTGTGAAACAATGTATGTATGTGTATGCATATATGTATTTTAATAAGAGAGTGCAGGAGAGAGTGAGAGGGGAGTTTTTCGTTTTTGTTTTTTAAGAGAGATTTTTGCTATAGGGCATTTGTACTTGCCAGAGAGAGAGACAAAGAGCGAGAACTCAACCCTCAAGGGAGATGGCCACCCCACAATCCCTTCTTCTTCTTCTTTTGGGGTTTTGGCACGCATGCACATGCACCTGGTGTGAGTTTCAAGCCTCCTCTAGGATTTGAACCTCAGTCGGTCCTGTGGGAGTCCAGTGACGTAACTATTACATCAGCTGGTCACAGAGAGGGGAGTATTTTTGACAGAATTTTGCCATGATATTCATGCCTCAGCCTCCCAGTTAGCTAGGACCGTTTGTGTGTGCCACCCCATTCAGCCTGTTAGGTTGGGCTGAGCACCAGACTAAGGCCTCCTATGAGGCATCAGCCTCAGCACAACAGTGCACTCCCACTTAAATGTTAGGCCACTGCAGTTTGACCTAATGTTTGTAAGTTTTAATCAAGTTCATCAAACTCCAGAAATTTTAGTCTGAGAGGCTAAAACAATAAAGAACCTTAAAATGTGTAAATTGGGAGAATAGAATTGAAAGAAGAGAAAATGTAGTCTCATTCCTTCTAAAATGCTTATTTCTCCTTTGAGAAATTAAATGTAGAATAAGGTTCATTTATGAGTCATTCATCTAGCTACTTGACATTATGAAAACGAATAGCTTGAATATAAACCCTTCCTATGAATTTGGCGTAAATAAAAAAAGTCAGTAAAAAAACTTGGTTAGATTAAGATGAATCAAAATTGTTAAAATAAGCATATTGCTTTACAATGAGGAACTTTAGTTTGATATGAATTCGTGTATGTTTTGTGGAGAGAGATGTTATGGACATATCTCTGTGTTATGATCCTCCTGCCTCAGATCCTGAGTAGGTGAATTCTAAGTGTGTGCCCTACATCCAACTCTTTGACACAGGGTCTCGCCATGTTGAACACCCTGATCCCAAGTTCACGATACTCTTGCCTCCCGAATTGTTGATATTGCAGGTATGCATCACTGCACCTGGCTTTTTAGCGTGGGCCAGGAATCGAACCTGGGTCTGCCATGTGACCTCAACCTGCTGGTTAATAGTATGTGCTACTACAACAGAGCCATTGTTTTTTGACTATATTTAAACAATTTTAAAATAGGCTAACTAGTTTCTTTGTAGTAATTAATTAAGCTATATACTCAAGATAAGTATACTTTATAGTATGTTAATACATTAGTTTCATGATTGGCAAATATAAGTGAACTATATTACTATATTAAATAAATATAAATTATGTAGAAAATCTTGAACTTTGTCAAAGAGTTTCTTAGAACAAGGTTATGGGCTCCTCAGTTCTACAGATAATTTCAAAATTACTTTACTTTCATATACTTTTGTAATTAATATCTATTCTAGGAGTTGATAATACTTAGAAAACAAAGTTAAATCACTCTTAAGATTTGACTTAGGAAGTTGTGACAACTTCGCTTTTTGATTTTTACTCTTTCTGTTCTAAACTTACAATTTACCATAGACATAATCTTTATTTTTCAAGTTTCTTTCTTTCTTCCTAGAGAGAATGAGAGATAAGGGCATCCTGAGCAGGGTCTTCACACTGCCATCCAAACCCATTTTAGCTGGCGTGGGTCACAAGTGTGCATGTGTGTTCCTGGCACACCTTGGGAGGTCCCCGGAAGTGAATCCGGGACCTTTCCTGTGTGGGTTCAGTTGTATGATTGTTGTGTCATCACCTCGCCCCGCTGTGGACATACCTTATCTCTTTCTGCTCTCCTAGCAGGGAGGCTTCATTTCTTTTTTTTTTCCGTCTAGGCTTTTTTCCCCCTCCCGGCCATTTTTTTGTATCTGTGAAGAAAATCTGTACCTGGGAATAATAAAGAATTAACCATTTTGCTTTAAAATATTCTATCTTATAATCAAATTAGAATGAAGGATTTACTCTAGGTTCAAAATCTTTATTCATAAGTCAGAGGGAACCAGCAGTGAGAGTAATGGCTGTGTTGCTGGACTCCCATGTAGTCGACTGCGGTTTGTGTCCCGGACCCGGTGGCTTAAAACTCATGCCGGGCGCGTGTGCGTGCGTGCCCAAGATCCCGAGAGGAGAATGGAGGAGAAGGGATTGCGGCATGACCATCCCCGCTGGGGGGTGATTTCTTGCTTTCTGTCTCTATGTCTCTCTCTGTCTTTCTGGTGAACGCACGCGCCCTATAGCAAAATGAATCTCTCCAAAAAAAAAAGAAAAAAAAAATCATGAGCCAGAAAGCGCACTTGAAATAAGAGTAAGTAGTTTGGCCAAGGGTTTGCGAAGGGAATTGGTGTAAGGAGCAGGTAAGATGCATAAGACTGTTTTTTTTTTTTTTTCCTTTTAACCCTTTGACCTTTTTAAGCAAATACCTTTGTTGCAGCATTTATGATGATTTTATTGATGTTACAGTAAAATATATTGATTTTTTTTAAAAAAATCATCATTGGCTTTAATTCTTTCTAATAATGAATTTTTCATAATTTCTTTCCTCATTTATTCTTCTAGGAAATGATAACTGAGAAAGAAAGAAGCAACGTGGTTATAGCAAGGATGAAAGATCGAATTGGAACTTTAGAAAAGGAACATAATGTATTTCAAAATAAAATGCATGTCAATTATCAGGAGACTCAGCAGATGCAGATAAAGGTATATTTTTATTCTTCGAAAACAAGAGGAAATATGTGTTTAATTAGCAACCTTTAAAAAATTACTTATCATTCTTATTATTAAATAATTATTTTATTTAGCTTTATTTATTTAGTTTTTATTTGACCAGAGAGAGAGAGAGAAAGAGGGAGGGGGGGAGGGAAAGTGAGAAAACAAGCCGCCAGGTCTGGGATTCAAACTGCAGTTGGCCATGTGGGAGTCCAGCAACCCCAACCTTCATGCCACCTGCTGGACCCAATCATTATTATTATTTTTTAATTTGCTACAGAGAATGTGGGCTCACCAGAGGGAGACAAAGAAAGAAAGTGGGGTAGGGATTGGGAGGGAAAGTGAAAAAGCAAGCCACCAGGTCCTTGAACTGCAGTTAGTTATGCAGAAGTCTCGAGCTCCTTAACCACCAAGTCACCTGCTAGCCCCAATTAGCATACTTTTTAATTTTTTTTTAGAGGTTTTTGCTCTAGGGCATGTGTGCTCATTGGAAAGACAGAGAGAGACAGAGAAACAGAAAGCAAGAAATCACCATCTAGGGGTGATAGCCATGTTGCAATCCCTTCTTCTCCATCCTCCTCTTGGGATCTTGCGCATGTATGCACAATTGCCCAGCCTGAGTTGAAGCCACTGGATCCAGAACTTGAACCACGGTCAACTACATGGGAGTCCAGTGATGTAACCACTATGCCAACTGCTGGTCCCCCAATTAGCATACTTTTAAGTGGCTAGTATGTGTAAGGTTTTTTGCTGGGCCACTGACCTATTGTGGCTAGTTAAATTTTTCTTCTTGTCCTTAAGTAAATATATTATTTTAAGATGAGGATGAGGAGATTAGAAACATATCAGTAAATATACTGTAAGCACTGGATATCTTGGAGCAATGAAGATGGAAGCTGGTGAAGAGGATTGATTGGGAAGACTTGTTAGAAGTGATATCCAGACTGTGTTAAGTCTTTTGAAACAGGCATTGTCAAGTAAGAGAGTGAAGAAATAGGCACTGATTGATTGTAAGAGTTGCTTAGTATGATTCTTTAATCCTATCCCTAGAAGTGGTGGCCCAGTAGGTCTATTTTGGGATCCAGAATTGAGCTTTATAATGAGTACACTCTAGTTATTTCCAATATAGGTTGCTTAGTGTTAAAACTTCGTGAAAAATCTAGTTAAGAGTCGCAGTATTGGGACCAGTAGTTAGCGTAATGGCTATGTCGCTGGGCTCCCATGTAGTCGACCGCGGTTCAAGTCCCGGGCCCAGCGACTTAAACTCACGCCGGGCCTGTGTGTGTGTGCCCAAGATCCCGAGAAGAGAATGGAAGAGAAAGGGATGGCCATGCCGCAATCCCCCTGGAGGGTGATTTCTCTCTTTCTGTCTCTCTGTCTCTCTCTGTCTTTCTGGTGAGCACACGTGCCCTGTAGCAAAAACCTCTCCAAAAAGAAAAAGTTGCGGTATTTGGGAAATTAGGACTGGAATAAAGAAGAGAAAATCTTGAGAAGTATCAATAGATAGGGGCCTTGCCTTAAAGGACCTCATATACCTGAAGACTTGGGAGCCAGTGAAGGTGTATAGACAACCCAACAGTGTGCTTATATTGGTATTTTTAATGATTATTCTGGCAGTAGTTTGGAGAATGGAACAAAACATAGTTGGAATCCAGACCGAACCAGGGCCTGAAATCAGATGTACATAAGATGGGGACAAGTTTTAGCAATACAAAAATCAGTTCGATAAGGCTTGATGTTAGAATGGAAGGGAGAGAGGATTGTGAACACTCCCAGCATTTGGGCTTAAGTGACCTTCTGTCTCTTATTTGCTTATACTGTGTCATCTGACTTCTGTCAGCATTTCAGGTTCATGTCTTACTGTCTGACTTTTCCAAATACACAGTTTCATGAATCTAGTGAGATCTGGACCAGTAATAGTTTTTTCTTTTCTTTTGCTTTTCTTTTCTCATCACCCTTATTCTTCTTTTTAGTTAAAAAGAGATTGAAATATCTTTATTACTGATAAAGAGGCTATCGAACATGGCTCTAGTCTACTTGCCAAATGGCTTTATAATATTCTCCTTAATTGAACTTTCAGGACTGGTGACTTTTTTGAAATTATTATTTTCATTTGTTGGCTCATGTTTCAGTTTGGATGATCTGTCATCACCTTTGATTTAACATATGTCTAAAATAAAATTCTTGTCTATTGATCAGGTTCTTATTTTCTAATATTCTGAAGCATTGTAGCATTATCTTTTTTTTTTTTTTTTGGTTCCTTTGACTTCTTTTTTCCTTGCCTTGTCTACAGTTTGGTCTGAGATTTTCAAAAAAATTATTTAATTTTATATATCATTATTATTTTAAATTTGCTGTAGAGCACATACACTCAATGGGGGGTGGGGTGGGTGTGGGGGTGAGGATCCACCAGGTTCGGGACTTGAACTGTAGTCATCCATATGGGAATCCAGCACCTCAACCACCATGCCACCTGCTGGCTACTTGGTCTGAGAACTTAAAGATATTTATTTTTTGTTAACTCTTGCATTTATTTATTTGATATCGCCTTAGTTTATTAGTTTATACAGGATAATTATATCTTCGTAATATGCTTCTCATTCCCATTGTAACCTATAGTTGGTACCAGATTATTTTGTATGAAATACTGCTTTGATCACATTACTAGTCTGGTAAAAATATAACATTATTTTCCACTGCCATCGAAATCTCATGTTTTCTACTGAAATTCTACAATAACAAAAATAGAAGTGAATGACATTGTTGTCAGAATCTTACACTATTTACTGTTTCTAGCATTTATTTAGACCATTTCTCTGTCTTCCCATTTCTCAGCCATTTGAAATATTTTCTCTTCCATCAATAAAATTATTTAGGAGCTGATTTTTGTAGCTTTAAGTGATCTTTTCATTTTAATTCTTAACTGTTGATTTGAAAATTAGTCAGACACACTTGTAGCAGCATCTAGCATCTTTTATTGAAGATGAAGTATATTTAAGTGATTCATCATTTTTTTACCTGATTTTTTAACTTTGTAGAGGCTAGGAAATAGATTCTATATGATAAGTCCTCTGAAAAATAGAAATGTATCTTGAATTCTCTTAATTATTAATAAGATTATCAAGAGCTTTTAGTTTCCTTTATAAGAATTGTTAATAAGATTATTTCACGTCTATCTTTTATACACCCAATTATGTCTTATTTATATATACTTGGGTGTATATAAGATTCAGTGTTCTTTATCTTCAAATTTTGTATTTATAAAATTAAAGAACAGAAAAAAGTTAGAATGGCGATTGCCAGAGACTGGGGAGAGAGGAATGGGGGAAGTTACTGGTTAGTGGGGTTAATTTTATAAGCTGAAAAGAGTAATAGGGATGAATGGTGGTCATGCTTGTAACATTATGGATATATTTCATACCATTGAACTGTACACTTGAAAACGATTAAGAGTGGTACATTTTATGTTGTATATATTGTACAACATCAAGAAATTAGAAAAATTAGTGGTTAGAATATTTGGCAAGTAAGATTTTTATGCCATCACACATGTGCCCGGCATGCATTTTTAAGCCACCGGGTCTGGGACTCGAATTACAATCAACTACGTGGGAGTTAAGTGACGTAACCATTATGCCATCCACTGGCCCTTCTCAAGTCTAATTTCTAAAATTGTGTCATCATCTCTTTGATTATGACTTAATTTGTAATTTAATATGAATGTAGCAAACAAATTCAGTTTTTTAAACTTTGGAATATTGCTAACATTAAGTTGACATGTTAGGATCAGGACGGGCTTAATTCTGTATGAGTCTATATGGTAGGGAAAATTATCTTCTAATTTTAAAATATTATCTCTATGTGTTTGTTTTAAATATAGCAGCCAGCATCTACCTGTACTCTTGCATTCTGTGGCAGCATATTTACTTTGCATTTGTCACTAAAAATGTAACTTGTCATTTAAGTTTGTTTATATTTGAGAAGAATGATTAAAAAAATTTTTTTAATAATTATTTAACTTTAAATAAATAACTTTATTTTTAATTTGACCAGAGAGTGAGAGAGAAAATGAGAAAGCAAGCCACCAGGTTCGGACTTTGGTCAGCCATGTGGGAGTCCAGTGCCCTTAACCACCATGCCACCTGCTGACCCCTGAGAAGAATGATTTAAACTTCATTCTATTGATGCCTTTTCTATTCTCATTATAATGAAGTTTTTTCTAAAAGGTAGCTTTGGCAATCTTTGTTTTCTAAATCTTATGTGTGTAAAATGATTTTAGTTTCAGCAAGTTCGTGAACAGATGGAGGCAGAGATAGCTCACTTGAAACAGGAAAATGGTATACTGAGAGATGCCGTCAGTAACACTACAAACCAGCTGGAAAGCAAGTATGTCTCTAAATGTTTTATTTTTCATTGAATGGCAGACTGTTATTTTGAATCATCAAAATGGTGCTTGATAGAAATTGATTAGACTTTTGTTTCTTACATTCCTTTCTTTTTAGGTTTTTGTCATAGAGTGCATGTGCTCACTAGAGAGAGAGAGAGAGAGAAAGAGAGAGAGAGAGATGGGGGGAAATGAGAAATCACCTCACAGCGGGGTGACCACAACGTATTCCTTCTCTATTCTCCTCTCAGGATCTTGAGCATGCATGCACACATGTGCAGTGTGTTTTTCAAGCCATCAGGTCCAGGGCTTGAACCACAGAGTCGGCCGTGTAGGACCCAGTGCTTTAACCACTGTGCCACCTGCTGGCCCACATTCATTTCTTAAATGAGTTACTTTTCAAAAACTTGTCTTTGGCTGTGTGAGGAACTTCAGTTATATGTGAAATATTATGTTTCTTATACAAAAGAAAACATAAATATATTCATGTGTTTTTACATGAATTATATACCTTTATAAATGTATTTATATGTTATATGTAAACCACATAATAAATACTATTGCCAGCAGTAGAACTGTCCACCAATTTATAAGACCAAATGATAAGTTTTTTTTTTTATTTATTTTTTATTTTTTTGGAGAGATTTTCGCTATAGGGCGCGTGCGCTCGCCAGACAGACAGAGAGAGACATAGAGACAGAAAGCGAGAAATCACCCCCCAGGGGGGATGGTCACGCCGCAATCCCTTCTCCTCCATTCTCCTCTCGGGATCATGGGCACGCACGCACACGCGCCCGGCGTGAGTTTTAAGCCACCGGGTCCGGTACGCGAACCGCGGTCGACTAGGTGGGAATCCAGCGACATAGCCATTACGCTAACTGCTGGTTCCCCCAAATGATAAGTTTTATACCATCTATCCCCTTCCACAATAGTTCTTAAATTTCATTATGAAGAGCACCTGGCATGTTAGTTAAGACACATATTATTATTATCTTAAATTATCTAGTTTACTTATTTATGTTAGTGGGTATTTGCCTGAGAGAGAGAGAAAGCAAGAGAGAAGAAAGCATCCCCTAACAGGACCTGGTCATACTATAGTCCTTTCTCCTCCAATTCTCCATCCCATCAAGATCCTGAGCATGTACATGCCTGGTGTGTTTTCTAAGCTTCTGGGGCTGGGACTCAAACCCTTGTTAGTTGGTTGGCTGTGTGGGATCTGTCTTTGCATATCATTTAATTCTTGTATTTTTGGGTTGGCACAAAAATGTATATTCTTGAGTGTAATTTCTTCTTTTTTTTTTTAAGAGAAATTTTTTTCCTATAGGGCATGTGCGCTTGCTAGAGACACAGACAGAAAGTAAGAAATCATCCCCCTGCCCGGGGTAGGGGGTGGCTATACCACAGTCCCTTCTCGTTTCCTCTCGGGATCTTGGGCACACACACATGTGCCGGGCATGAGTTTTAAGCTGCCGGGTCTGGGACTCGAACGTGGGAGTTCAGCGACATAACCATTAGGCCATCCACTGGTCCCTCTTGAATCTAATTTCTAAACGATAATGTATGGCTCATTGGATATAAGATGAAGCCCAGGAATCTATATATTATAATACATTCTTTGTGTTACGATATAGAGCACAGAACAGTATGTTAGAGAGAAGAATAGTATGCTTACATAGAGGAAGCACTCTGGTTGATTTTAATAAGTTGTCAGAAGGCCAGTTTGAGGACGACACTGTTACCCTCCTGCATTTAAGTTTGTGATCATCCTTTTTTCCTGATATTTTATAGTGATGTTAGAATTTGTGTAGCTGTCATTAGAATTCAGGAGTTACACTCAGCATTCCTTTTGGTAGTCACTTGTGTTCCTTTTCAGTTGGCTATAATTGGAATTACTAACTCAGCAGAACTAATATAAAATGTTTTGTTTGCTTGTCTATTTCTTATGTGTTTGTAGTAATGGAAGGTTCCTAATCCAGTTATTGTTTTCAGGCAGTCTGCAGAACTAAACAAACTGCGCCAGGATTATGCGAGGTTGGTCAATGAACTGACTGAGAAAACAGCAAAGCTACAGCAAGAGGAAGTCCAAAAGAAGAATGCTGAGCAAGCGGTTACTCAGTTGAAGGTTGTATAGCATCACCTTTATTTATCATTTAATGAATAATGTAGATATTTAATTTGACTTAAATATGTATACAAGTTGGAGAAATAAAGTTTGAGCCATCAGCCCTGTAGCCTTAGTGCTGTTTGTCTGCACAAGTGTGTGCCCTGATAAAAGAGTTGAATATAGACTTGAATTTGAAAATTAAAGACTATTTGAAGTTATAAAAAGTAATGTTTGCTGGTTTATAGATAGAAGGGGTAGACTTTCATCTTATAAATGGTCTAAATGTATAAAGCAAAAATGATATAGTTAAAATGACCTTTTTTTGTTTTTTGTTTTTAATTTTGCTAGAGGGCAAATGTGCTCACCTGGAGAGATGGGAGTGGAAGGGAGTGAAAAAGCATCTCCCATGAGTATGGTCATGTCACGATCCTTTCTCCTCCATCTCTCTTTCTGGGATTTTGGATTTGCATGCACATGCACCTGACATGTTTATTCATCCGCCAGATCTGGACTCAAACTGTGCAGTTAGCTATATGGGACCCAGCTGTCTTAAACCACCAACCACCAGCTGGCCCTTAAATGACCTTAATGTTACTTTGTCATGTATAACTTTGATTTCTCAGTAGTTCTCCCTCTTTATTTTTCTTTTAGGATTGGAATAGATGGGTTTTTCCTTTGCATGAGCACAAAGCCAAGTAATGCCCCAGTGCCTTATGCTAGAGCCATGGTGTACAAAAAAGTTCACATATTGTTTTTATTGTTAACACCAGAATGGTACTTGGTATCTTGAGATGCTTATATTGTGAAGAAAGACATGGAGTTGCTCAGGCTAAGGGAGGGGTAGATTCATTTTTGTCATCTTACATACTCTCTGCAGATTTGGGAATCTGTTCTCTTTAGATAGGAATACATAGATAAATAACTTTAAAGATCATAGTAATAATTGGAATGTTGTGCTATAAATATATGTACCTCAAAATATGAATTTTAGGTACTTAGATTTGGTAATAAAGATACGATCTCATCTTTTGGAAGCTTGTCAGTTGGAGGAAGATTAATGGACAACAGGTCATAGCTAGTTGGATCTGATTTGTACATAGTAGAAGTTATCTTGATCTAACAGCGTGAATATTGAGTTTCTGAAATAATCTCCAATCTATAAATCTTATATATTGCAGGATAGGATGGCTATGGCTAGATAGATAAATGACTTTCAGACTCTCCATTTCTGCTTATAAAAATGTAGGAGACTAGTGGTAATAAGCAGTATTATAACACAACAGTAAAGGTAGAAGTGCTTTTCTTTTAAGTTAAAATCCTATGTATATGCTAATTTATCCTTTCTCCCTCTTTAAATATCAAGGTTCAACTACAGGAAGCTGAGAGAAGGTGGGAAGATGTTCAGAGCTACATCAGGAAGAGAACAGCAGAACATGAGGCAGCACAGCAAGGCAAGGGGAAAGAATATTCCATGTCAGCTTTGTAGATAGTTTCAGGGAAAGTTGCCTCCCCCTTTCCCTGTATCCCTGCTGAGTGCATGCATCCTCTGGCAATGAAAGTAAGATAAATTTCAAGAAATGGTATATTCTGTTTTTAAACACCCACATACTGTTCAGTGAACACAGTTTTGAGAATGCACTGTGTGCCAAGCCATGGACGCTACCCTGGGTATAGAGAAAAGGCAATGATTGATCTCATAAGCTTTCTTTGTGGGACAGGACAAGAGACAAATGAACAGTGTGACAGGTGCTATGATAAAGGTAAGCAGAGAGGAGCATGCGAGAGAGAAAGCCAGAGAGATTCAAGGGAGGTTTTTCTTGAGATAATGCCTGCCTTAAAGGTGAATGGGAGTAACTGAGCAAAGGAAAAGATCTTTGTAAAATGGAACATTCTTTTACAGATTTACAGAGTAAGTTTGTGGCCAAAGAAAATGAAGTACAGAGTCTGCATAGTAAGCTTACAGATACCTTGGTGTCAAAACAACAGTTGGAGCAAAGACTAATGCAGTTAATGGAATCAGAGCAAAAAAGAGTGAACAAAGAAGAGTCTCTGCAAATGCAAGTTCAGGTATTTTTTTTTTTTTTTTTTTTTTTTTTGAAGTGGGTGGTGTTGAGATGTTTGTCTAGAAGAGAGAGCAAGGTCTTCCTTATCCTAATCCTGAAGTGGTGGTGAATAATTATAACTTAGTCTTCTGCAGTTGTCACAATAGGTGTGTTTGAAGATCTGTGCTCCTCCAGTCTTACTCTCCTTATGTTCTCATAGAAATGGCACACCTATTCTTAATTTTAACCTTATAAGTTAACTCAGAATGGAATGACTAATCATTGAAAGTAATTCCTTTTGGAATCTAAAAATGGCTTTTAAAAGATAAATAGATGTTCTTGGAACTGATTGTGTTTATATACATTGGGTATTTATTAATACACACCGGTTTTACTCTTTTACAAAAGGATATTTTGGAGCAGAATGAGGCTTTGAAAGCTCAAATTCAGCAGTTCCATTCCCAGATAGCAGCCCAGGTAATGGTTATTTTTTGTTGCTTTCTCTAATAATACTTTCCAAGCCATTCAAACAGTCATTTCATTTCCAACCACTGAATTAGGAGTTGGGAGACTAGTCATGAATCAGTATGACAGTCGTGCCTGCTAACTACTCTGCAAAGTTCTGTGGGCAAATACAAAGAAATCCAAGTCCAACTAATAGAAAGGGAGTAATTAGAGAGCTCTTACTATATGAGGAAAACATCCCTGATTTTGTCACAAGATGGGGATTAGCCACATAATATCTACGATAGTAGCTTATGTAATAAAAATTCTCTAAATAGTGACTAGCCATGGAAAAACCCTCTAAACACTGAGGAGGTAGCAATATATTAACTGTAGTTCTCAGTTTACATTTGCTAAAGGACCAATTTAAAATTTATTCTTCAATTGGGACCAGCAGTTAGCGTAATGGCTATGTCGCTGGACTCCCATGTAGCCAACCGTGGTTCGTGTCCTGGACCCAGTGGCTTAAACTCACGCCAGGCGCATGTGCGTGCGTGCTCAAGATCCCGAGAGGAGAATGGAGGAGAAGGGATTGCGATGTGGCCATCCCCCCTGGGGGGGGATTTTTCACTTTCTATCACTCTCTCTCTCGGTCTTTCTGGCAAGCGCATGCGCCCTATAGCAAAAACCTCCACAAAAAAAGAAAAAAAAATTATTCTTCAATTTAACTAGTGATAAATCTAAAGTTTTACAAGGTTAATAAGACCTGTTTATTCTTGGTAACATTGGTTGGTCCTATTGTATCACACTCACACACCCATGAATTTCAGTAAGCCCATGGAAAATGGAATTAAAGTATAAATTAATTTTGGTACAAAAAATTTTCAAAATCCATGTGTAGCAGGGCCAGCAGATGGTATAGCAGTTATGTTGCTGGACTTCCACATGGCTGACCTTGGTTTGAATCCTGGGCTTGGTGACTTGAAACTCCTGCCAGACATGTGTGTGTGCATGCCCAAGATCCCAGAAGGAGAAAGGAAGAGAAGGGATTGTGGAGTGGCCATCCCCCCAGAGGATGATTTCTCACTTTTCCTCTCACTGTCTCTGTCTCTCTCTCTCTCTTCCCCAGCACGCACCCTAAGGCAAAAACCTCTATCCCTGTCCCCCCTCAAAAAAGTGCATAGCTTTTTCATAGTATGCATCTTCTGTGAACTTTTGAAGATCTTTTATGTACATCTATATATAGTTTTTAGAATATAAATGACACATCATGAAAAAAGAGTGAAAACTTCCAAGTACTCATTTTTATTTTATATATAACTGAATTTCAATTTCAGTTTCAATGTAGATTTTTTAAAAGTTATTTGTAGCAAAAACTGTTAGGGTAGAATGGAAGCCTCAATTTCCTGCATAAAGTGGTTTTAATGTTGACAACTTGTTCTTAAAAATTCAGGTAAGTTCAAACTCCCCAAGGCTTTCAGCATGTGAAACTTTTTTTTGTTGAATTGTTTTCTTTGTAGAAAATATGGTCTAAAACTATTGGGTTGTTGAGAAAGTCATGACACATTTTTTGCATAGAAAAACAGAAAAATACATCATGAGTTTTCCAATGACCTAATAATTGGAAAAGAATTATTTAATATAGGAAATGGTGTTTGTATGTACGTGAAAATTATCAACTCTAATTGGATCATAGTGTTATTAGCTGAGAGGTAGCTCTAGATAGTTTATGAGGAATGAAATATTTTAGAGAATACTATGTAGTGTCATTCTTTATTCATTTTAATTGCCAGAGGGTGTACCTGCTTGTCAGGGAGAGGAAGAAAGCACTGCCCAATGGGACATGGTCATGCTGCAGTTCCTTCTCCACTTTTCCATCCTATCAGGATTTGGGGCCTGCATGCACATGTGCCTGGCATGTTTTTCAAGCCTACTGGACTTGGATTCAAATTGCAGGAATCCAGCTCCTTCAGTCACGAGGCTGTGGTGGCTGGTCCTATGGAGTAGTACCTTTAAAGTAAAAATGAGATGGGGAACCAGCAGGTGGCATGGTGGTTAAGGCACTGGACACTCCCACATGGCCAACCAGGGTTCAAGTCCTGAATCTGGTGGCTTACTTTCTCACTTCCTCTCCCTCTCATTCTCACTCTCTGTCTCTCTCTGCTCAAACTAAAAAATAAATGAATGAATAAATAAAGTAAATAATTATTTTTTTAAAAATGAGCTTCGATGTTGCCAAACTACGTAATTATCTTACTCATGAAGTAGATAATTTCCTTATTGAAAGCTATTACAAAGGAAAAGAAGTACAGGGATGAAGAAGGGCCTTTGTGATTATTTTTCCCAAGTATATGTTGCTAATCGGTTATGTAGTTTTCAAAATTGTCAATTTGTTTTATTCTAAATATCTGTGATACGTAATTCCATAATACTGCCTGTTGGTGATCAAACTTGCTTTCAGAATGGTAGCCACTCACTGTGGGCTGGATGCTTACTTAACAACTTTATATTCATTAATTTCTCTTAATGTTTAGAGCTCTGTTGTGATTTTTATTGTACAACTTTTAAACTTTCTCTAATACTTTTATGTTGACACTGTTTTTCTTTCTTAGACCTCCGCTTCAGTTCTAGCAGAAGAATTACATAAAGTGTAAGCCTGCCTTTCCACACTTCTCTTATAATTGTGTAGTCACCACTAACTGATACTTGTTAGATACAACACTTATGATTAACTTTATACTCTGAACTGATTGAAAAATACTCTGAACTAAATTTGGAGCAACTTTTGTTCTTTTTTTTCCTCAAGTGAGTTGGGTCCCTAGACATTACACATTCTGTTTCTATATCTTAATCATAGAAAGAGTTAGGGAAACTTCCTTTAATTTGAGGGTTAGCAGTTATTTGGAAGAGGGAATTGTGTTTAGATAGTAGTAGAAGAAACTTTTTGTGTCTTATACGTTATAGTTATGTGGTAGTAACCCAAAACAAAATTGTTTTTTTCTGTGTTGTGTAAGTTTGCATAGACATAGATCACTTGTGTTCAGAAGACCCGAAATCTAGTTTTGACATCACCAGCCTTGTGAGCTTAATTAAAGAGTTTGGTTAACCTTTTTGACCTCACATTTTAAAATAGGGCTATATATTGAAAGGAGTTTTAGTAATGACTGTATCATTCAGTAATGAATTAGTAAACTTAAAGGGCCCATTGAAATAGAAAGTACAGCCAATAAGAAACTACTTAAATAAGGGTTACTCTATAGGCTTTTAATCCTTTATGATTTGGCTTCTAAGTGTTTATTGAGGTTACAAATGTACTTTTTCTTAAAGGATTGCAGAAAAGGATAAGCAGATAAAACAGACTGAAGATTCTTTAGCAAATGAGCATGATCATTTAACAAGTAAAGAGGAAGAACTTAAGGTACAGTAATTCCAGTAATTCTTAGAAATGGCTGCAGTATTTTATAGAACTCAAAATTGAATTTCATTGATCGTTATAATCAGTATGAGTATGTATGAAGAATGGAAAATATTATGGGACTCATTCGAAGGATCTCTTAAGCTACAAAATCTTCTTTAGCTCTCTGAGAGGAAAAAAATCAAAGGGGTTTTCTTAAATGGTATTATTCACAATAATTTTATTGAGGAATGTATTAAATAACAGCGATCGAAGGTTTCTCTTTCTCAAGAAATTTGTGAGTTGAGACCTTTGCTTAACTGTCAGGTAGAAGAGGTGCTTTACAAACTTCAGAGTGAATTGTATTAAATCTTCATAATATTCTTTTCTTTGTCCTAGGATATACAGAATATGAATTTCTTGTTAAAAGCTGAAGTACAGAAATTACAGGCCCTGACAGATGAGCAGGTAGACTTACTGCTTTTGAGCGTGTGCCTCCGAATTCAGTTCTTTCCTGTTATTTTCTTTATGTTGTGAGTGCCAGCCTTATTCCCTTAGATTACACATGTGATGGTTATTCGTACTTGGTCGTGTGGTATGTTGTTGAAAGCCTCTTTTCTTCATCATAACTCTCTCAAATAAATGTTATTTTCATGTGGAAATTAATGTTTAATTTAACGGATCATTACTTTGATATATCAGATGAATTAGTTAAAACAGTCTAATGTGCTGACTTGTTTTAGTCTTCTGTTTAATCCAAAAAGAACACACTTTTTATTAGGATAAATGTTGATCAGTTAGAAGTGAAAAATAGCAGATAGCAAAACATAGTGCAGAAATGTATAATATTGCTATAATTTATGAAAATATGACTTTAATACTAAAAAAATTAGTGAAAGAATAATTTTGAGTACTTCCTGAGAAATGATTTAACTTTCTTCTCATTTCAAACACAGGCTGCTGCTGCACGTGAATTAGAGAAGATGCAAAAAAGGTGATTCAAGTGTTGCTGTTCATAGAGTCATTCATATATTTATGTTCAGATATAATTGTTGCAAAATATTACTGTTTATAACTGATAGTAGTGCACATAATTTATATAAATTTTCTGAATGTTGAGGTATTTTAATAGTTTTTTTCTTACAGTATTCATGTTAAGGATGATAAAATAAGATTACTTGAAGAGCAGCTACAACATGAAATTTCCAACAAAATGGAAGAATTTAAGGTCTGTGAGTAAGCTTGTATTCTCAGCTTTCTTTGAAGAACCTTGTGTAAATTTTTTAATTGAAGCTTTGGAATACCACTTTTTATGCAAAGTCACTCTGAAACCCTATTTGTATAGTTTATTTGGAGACATAGGCAAACAGATAATTTTTTAATAGACCTTTTGCCTAGATTTTCTTGTTCATGTAACAGACTTTTGAGATTTATTTTGCACCAAGCTTTTCTGCAGCTAACTGGTAGTTTGTATTTATGGCTGTTTTACCGGTCTCCATGGTTGCTGTAGTTCTGGTTTCTAGTCTTGGCCAGCCAGTTCGAGTTCTGATTGTTGGGTGCATCTCTATGTTCAGTGAGATTCGAATTCTTATACGACTTACCTGTGACTTTAATGCATAGTTAATGCTGTAGTATGGGTTTGATTGTTCAAAAACTCATTCAAGTGATTGGTTTATTGCTTTTTAATAAATAGTAAATTGAGTTTCTTTTTTTCCAGATTCTAAATGACCAGAACAAAGCATTAAAATTAGAAGTTCAGAAGCTCCAAACTCTTGTTTCTGAACAGGTAAGGCTTTCCATGAATTACAGGGTAGAAATTGCATAGCAAATTTGATTCTTCTTATTGGTGACCAACTCACTAACTGGTAATTTTTACTTAAGCTTATTATGTATTTTAATTATGTTTCTAGTCATCTTGTGCTTATCAAGTATCTAAATTAAGGAAACTATAAATTTTCTTCCCTGAGGTGGAGCTAATGCAAATCTCTTCATAAGTACTTCCCTGCAAAGTAAATAGAATAAAATAAAATAAAGTAAATATAATAAAATAAAATAAAATGCATAAATATAATTTAAACTGTTTTGATACATTTGGATAAAAGTTCTACATTAAACTTTGGTAGCTTCAACTTTTTCTTTTAGGCAACATGAAATTTTAAATAGAGAATGCGTTCTAAACCTGCTGCCAGCACTTAAAAGCAGAGTGATGTTGATCAGTTTGCTTAACATTGCTGATATCCCTCATTCTGAGTCTTTAATACTGACTTTATGCTTTATAAACATAAAGTTGTTAGAGGAAGCTTGTGTATATAATGCTATTAGCCTAATGTTTTCCATACAGAAGGCATGTAAACCTTATTTTCTCTCCCTTAGAATATTTGTTTGTCTCTATCTTATACCACTACCACTCTTTCTGTATTTAGAGCAAGCTATCAAAATTGTAGCAACTCTTGGAGCTGGCAGGTAGTGTGGTGGTTAAGGTGCTGGATCTCTCACATGGCTGATTATGGTTCGAGTCCTGGACCTGGTGGCTTGCTTTTTACTTTTCCTTTCTCTCTCTCTCTGGTCAAATTAAAAATAACATTGGGTCATCGGAAAAGTCATGATGTATTTTCTATAATTTTCATTTTCATGACTTTTCTGATGACTCAATAATAATGATAATGAATGAAATTAAAAAAAAAAAAAACCAAAACCAAAAAACTGTAGCAACTCTGAATAAGCTTGGCCCCATAAAATAGAGGCAAATGGTATCTCTTCTGACTGCTCGTAAGTGTTACCTTCATACTCTTCTCCTACGCAACTCTTTAAATTATAGTTTTAAAGATATCCTAGAATCTCTTGATTTAAATGGCACATTAGAATAGAAATTTTGCATGTCTCTAATATTAACTTTTCAGAATGTACTTCAGTTAGAAACTGAAATATAAGCTGTAACAAATCATAGCCCTTCTTTAGCAGTATATGCCTTTTTTTCTTATTTAAAATTTACATTTTTTGCAGATACTGAATTGGTGTAAGTAGCTGGAAGTGTTTTGTTAATGTCTGCTTACTTGTGAGGAAGTAAAGCACTGTCCCTCCCCCCATGATATTAAGTGCTTTGCTTACTTAGTCTATTTTACTTTGTATATACTTTACCCTTGCAGACTAAAGAAGAGAAGATGTTAAAGGGATGATAATCCAATGATACTTAAGTCTTATTTAAAATTATCCTATTTCCCTTTTTTATGGTACAACTTCTAAAAAAATATGCTATTTCATCCATCGTAAGTCTCCCTGCTCTATTCCATTTACTGTCTCTGAGATCTGGATGTATCCTGCAGTGTCTGATTATACCTTAGTTGGCAGTATTTATAGTTTTTCATGTTAAGTAAAATGTCAGTTATGAGACACAACATTGCTGACTTGGTTTAGGTAAAATATAATAGATTTTTTTTTTTGTATGTGTATTCTTACCCAGAAAAGCACACTTTTCATGTGTTAGTTACCAGAAATTTTGAAACATCTATTCATTATTTAGTCATGTGCCACATAACCTTTCAGTCAGTGATGGAATGCAAATACAGTGGTGATTCCATAAGATTATAATAGGGTTGTGCCATCTAGTAAGTACTGTCTGTGATGTTCACAATGAAACTGCCTGACAGTGCATTTTCCAGGATGTATCCTTGTTAAGTAACACAGCTATACAAAGTTTTAAACTTTCTAAAATAAGCCTCATGGAGATAAAACAATACCTAAAATTTCCAAATCTCTACTAGAATTCTAGTAATCTAGTAATGGCAATTCTTTCCTAGTTTTAAACACAAACCTGTATCTTTAAAAATTTTTAAACTTCTATTCTTTACTAAAAATGGCATTCTTCATTATTAAACAAGACTAAAACTACCAGCCTTAAGTCTTTTTTTCTTTAAGAGTGCATGATACCTTGAGGATTACCATTCTATTATAATATCTTTTGTATATTTTTCTGTTGCATTTGTGGAAATTGTTATTTCTTAAATTCTCTTATTTCTGTTTTATTGAGTCAGATTTTGTCTATTGTAAGATTTCTATGCACTTTTAGATGTTCTCTGTTAAAATGACAACTTTTAGTTTGAGATAGATTTTTGTTCATGAAAAATATTTAATAGTCCACAGAATAAAATTTTATAGTCACATATTTTTTATTTATTTAGAAGAATTATTTGATAAGGGGGGAACTCGGACTGGCAGGTGGCATGGTGGTTAAGAGCGCTGGACTTCACATGGGCGACTATGGTTCGAGTCCCTGATCTGGTGCTTGTTTGCCCCCACCACCCGACCCTTCCAGTCAAATTAAAATAAAATAAATAAATAAAGATAAAATACAATCTTAAAAAAAAGAAGGGGAATTAATTTTGTGGTACTAATTTAAGATTTGCTATTGAATACTTTTTAGAATGATTCTAGTTCTGAAAGCCTTTTCTTTAAATTCTAGAAATTGTGTGACTGTGTTGTTACTATATTCTTGGTTATAGTTGTTAATTTTGACTGACCAAAGAATCAGCTTTTTGGCTTTTATTCTAGTCATTTTTATTGCTGTTCCTACTGAAAGTAGAGATAAAGATTAGTTTAATTTAAATTTCTTTCATATCCACTTTTTTTTTTTTTTTAAGCTTTTACTATTGGCTGTTTGTGCTCATAGGAGACAGCAGAGACAGAGAGGGAAAGTAAAAATCACTCCCCAGGGAAGACAATAATACTTTCTCCTCCATTCTCCTCTCAGGATTTTGGGCACACATGTACATACACCTGGGTGATTTTCTTTACTTTCTTTTCTTTTTTTTCCCTCTCTTTATTTTTCTCGTTTTTTGCCGTAGGCAGGTATGCTTACCAGCGAAACAGAGATAGACAGTGAGAGGAGAGAAAGTGAGAAATCACCCCTCAGGGAGGATGGCCACACTGCATTCCCTTCTCCTCTACGCTTTCTCTCAGATTTTGGCTATGCACGTGTAAGCACCCTGTGTGATTTTTCTAGCTTTCAAGTTCGGGACTTGAACAGTGGTTGGCCATGTGGGAGTCCAGTGCCTTAACCACCACAACTCCTGCTGGTCCCCTTGGTGTGATGTTCAAGCCACCAGGTCAGGGAGGAGTCCACTATGTGGAACCCAGCTACATTGGATCTAGCAGCCTTAACCTCCATGTTACCTGCTGGCCCCATTTCCACATTTCTTCTTATCCAGAGTTTGGGATTCCAAGTAATAGCTGAGAAGTGAACAGTTTGTTATATAAAAATTTCAGACCTATTAGCACACAGAAAAGGTTGAGCTTATTGAAGAAAAAAATTGGTAATGGTGCTAAGTTGTTTTTTTCAGTGTAGAAAGCACCAGGCAAAGTAACTTGTTTATACACTAGAGAAGGGAGGGCTCTGTTTGGATGTAGGCCTCTGAATGATCAGATAATGCAAATAAATTAGTTACTAAGGTTTCATTTACTCAGAATAAGGTAAAACTTTTGAGAGGTAGTATGTATCCTGACTTTTGAGTGAAAATGCAATATGATTTTTTATTCTTTTGAAGAATCAGGTGAGAAGTACATAGGACTGATTAAAGGTATAATACAATTAATAATCAAGGTGCAGATAACTTACACTTAATGTTTAAGTTCTTTTGTGAGATGGCATGCATTAAAAATAAAAATACACCAAATTGTCTTCATCAAGGATTTGTGAACTATTACTGCATGATTTATTTTTCACATTGTGAAGCAGATTTAATATACTTTTGACAGCTCCTATCTTTTTTCTGATGGTAGGGCAGTTTTTCCCTACTTGGGAAGTTCTTCCTATCCTCTTCACAGAACTATCCTTATGAGCCAGAGGCAAAGAGCACAAATAGGATATCATGGTATCTGAATAAAGCTGAGGGCCTAAATAGGCATTGAAGAGAAGGGGTTTCTTTTGGAAATGTAGAGGTGGAACCTTAGGACTTGGATTTTACAACTGAAAAACTTAACATTATTTGTGAAAAATGGTTGTAATAAGACTGTGAAAAAAACTGGGCCAGCCCTATAGCCTAGTCATTAAGGAAGCTGGATCCCACATGGCTACACACAGTTTGAGTTCCAGCCCTGGTGTCTTGAAAAATACAGTGGGTACATGTGCATGCATACCCCAAGTCCCAACAAGGTGGATACATGGAGGAGAAGGGATTATGGCATAGCTACTCCCAGGGGGGTGGTCATGGGGGATGCTTTCTCTTTCTTTCTCTTTCTCTGGTGAGTTTAAATGCCCTCTGGTAATTAAAAGAAAAGAAAAATTGAGGAAAAAGCTAAAAAAAAACTAGCAAAATTAGGCGAGTTGGGGAGACAGGCAGTAGGAGATCATTGTAGAAAACTAGACACCGAGGAATGAAAAACAGCATCCAGAGAGATAGGAGAATTGTGTATTATGCCAGCAGGCACGGAGAAGTTAATACTGTGAATTTCTGGCCCCACCTGAGAGTTGGACACAGCCTTTATGGGTGAATTGGGGAGGGGTGGTTTCAGCAGCTTGGAGTGTTCTATTAAGGAAGGTGCTTAGTGTCTGCCCTAATACAGAGCTGGCAGAAAAGCAGGGAGTCTAACTTGCTTAAGGCCTCCGGGTAGGGACAGTTAGTTCACAGGGAACAGAATGTTTAGGCAGTTATCAGCCTTGGGTTGCTTCAAAGTTACTTAGTTCTGGGTTGCTCCATATTAGCATGTTTAAGGAGAAAAGCCTCAAACTTGTTTAGGCAGACTGTTTCACTGCCTTGAAGGGAAGCTAAACTTCTAGATTTATGATTTTTTTTTTGAGAGAGAGATTTTTGCTATTGGGCGTGTGTGCGCACCAGGGAGACAGAAAGCGAAGAATCACCCCCAGGGGAGTTGGTCATGCCACAATCCCCTCTCCTCCATTTTCCTCTTGGAATTTTGGGCATGCATGCATACACACCTGGTGTAAGTTTTAAGCTGCCAGGTCCAGGACATGAACCATGGTTAACTATGTGGGAGTCCAGTGATAGAAACATTATGCAACCTGCTGGCCCCACAATAAGTTCTAATAGTGAGAATTTGTGTGTGTATTGGGAGGTACAGGAGAAAAGTCAAAGAGGTGTCAGTTTACTTGTTGTGTTTATTGCTTCTACAGTTTACAGTCAGTTTTAAACCATTCTATATCTTGGTCTGGGTGGTGGTTATGTAATATTTATGTATTAAAAATTCATTGATCTATCAGAACAGGACAGTGTTGCAGTGGTTAAGCATGATGCTTTGCAAGGCTGGCCCATGTAGAAGGGTTCTGGGTTTGCATCTGGAGACCTCTCTGAGTACACTGTTGGGTGGGTATGTGTCAGTGATCTGAGGCTCTCTGAAGCTAGGGGTCGATCATAGTGCCAAGATCCTGTTGAGGGTACTGTTTCTTTCTTTCTTTCTTTTTTTCTTTTTAAATTTTTTATTTTATTTTATTTTATTTATTTTTTAATTTGACCAGAGAGAGAAGAGGTTGAAAGTGAGAGAAAGAGGAAGTGAGAAAGCAAGCCACCAGATTCAGGACTCGAACCCTGGTTGGCCATGTGGGAGTGTCCAGCGTCTTAACCACCACACCACCTGCTGGCCCCATAGGGTACTGTTTCTTTCTATTTGTGTCTCACTCAATGGAAGAAATAAATAAATAAACTTGAAAAAAATTTATTGTGCTGTAAATAGGATTTGTGCACTTGACTCTAAATGTCATATATGGCTATGGAAAAAGAAATCAATTTTTTTTAAAAGCCTCTTTTCTGATTTGCCAGACTTTAGAGCCTCAGAATTTTTTGTTTTGGAAAAATTAAATGTAAAGGAAGTGAGACAAATGCTCTTTTATCCTCAAGTTAAGGTTATCTTTTATAGTGATTAAAAATTATTCATAAGATACTAATTCATTTTATGAGCCTATTTTATACTTTTTTCCTTTGTCTTTTGTATAGATGCATCTCTTCTGTTGTGTTTTCTGAGTTAAATAATTCTTTAATTATTAGCAATGTTCAAATAAGAGTCACTTTCCTAAACTTTAGATCTATTTGAAACTCTTGAAAATTTTCACAGTATTATTTCTAAGTTAGTTTTCCTTTATGCAAACTTGGTAAAATTAAACATTCTCTGGTGATTTTTATTCTAGCCTAATAAAGACATTGTGGAACAAATGGAAAAATGGTAAGTGTTTAAAATTTCCTTTTTATATCTTGGTAATTTTTTCCTACCAAATTTGAGATAACAGAATTATTAACTATTGGTACATTAACCAAGACTTTAAAAATTCTTGGGTCAGCCAGTGGCATGGTGTTTAGGGCAGCTGGGTCCCATATGACAGACTATATAATTTTGAGTCCTGTATCCAGAAGCTTGAAAAACATGCCAGGCTTATGTGTGTGTGTGCTCAGAGTCTTGAGAAGAGAATGGTGGAGAACAGATTGCAGTGTGGCCATCCCCTACTGGGGAGGCTTTCTCACTTTCTCTCTTTCTCTTTCTTTCTCTTCTCCTCCCCCCTCCCTTTTGCCCTATAGCAGAACTGAAAAAAAATTTTCTTTGCACTTTATTATGGAAGAATATACCATCAATTATTTCATATTACATTACACTTCTTGATGTTGTTTGTGACGATTGACTTGTTCAGGGTGGCATGTAAACATGCATAACTTGAGCACATTTTACTTACTGGTAAAGAGAAAATATCCCCAGACCATGATCAAAGCTCCTCAGAAGCCTTCTAAAATTAAGCATTTATAAATAATGATGGACAAAGTTGATGATCCATGTGAAATATTTAGGAATGATACAATTACCTTGAAAGATATTAATAAGATAAAGATAGCTTAAACTTATAATTTTAGCCTTCAAGAAAAGGATGAGAAGATAAAGACTGTAGAAGAATTACTTGAAACTGGACTTATTCAGGTGGCCACTAAAGAGGAGGAACTGATCGTAAGGCATCTTATCGATTCATTTTTCCTTATGGTTATTCTGTGAATAGGAAGGGGTTTCCCTGTAATTTATGTAAGGTTTTCCCAATAACTCTTAACGTAAGTTATTCACATTTTATAAATTTGTCTTTTTTATAGTTAATTATAGTATTCACTGCCTTAATGAGGTAGATACTACTGTTAGAATTTTTAATATATACATCCCCACTTGCATCCTTGTCCAAATTATAACTAAACCATAATTATACATACTTAAGTTCATGAAATGTTTTTGGAGGCCAGAGAAAGAAGAGACTGGAGTTCTACTTCATGGTTATCGTTAGCCTCAACTATCTTGATTAGAGTTGGAGTTGTTGGTAGAGGTAAATTAAAAGAAGTATTTGAATTTAGAGAGAGCCATGGTCTAATTGAACCAATGGTAGACTGTGTGTTTTTGAGGTTGCGGAATTAAACATCGAAATATATGCGGGATGATTGAATTAGAAATCCTTTTGGCTAACTGTAGAAGTTGTAGAATTGTAGACATACAGAAGAAATAGGATTTCTGAGCCTTCTGTAGAGGATAAAAAAGCAGTTATAAAAAAACGGAAATGTATCTTTGAAAGATAGCTTATTTTTTTCTGAAAATAAAAGTATGTTGTGCTTATGTATCTTTGAAAAAGGCAATAAGAACAGAAAATTCATCTCTGACAAAAGAAGTTCAAGACTTAAAAGCTAAGCAGAATGATCAGGTAATGTATATTGTTGATTGTACAGTTCTTTTAAATAACTAATAAACCTGTTACCTAACAACATACAAGTCTATTGCCTATTCTTCCTTCTCCAAGGTGGAATAGTAAATTATGGTTTTAATCTATCAATTATTGTTGATTTGATTATCAGTAATATGTGGGTGCAATTTACTGAATACTGACTATATTCCAGGCACAGTGTAGGGTACTTTAGGTAGGACATCATTGTCTTGTGTATACAAATATAAAGTAAGATTCTAAATAATTGTAAAAAAGGTGGCCAGAAATTAGGCAGTTTTGTAGTGTTTTCTGGTTAGAATAATTAGTTGAATAATTTTTTTTTTTTGAGAGATATTTTTGTTATGGGGCATGCGTGCTCACTGGAGTGACAAGAGACTGAAAGTGAGAACCATGCCTCAGGGGCAAATGACCACACCTCAATCCCTTTTCCTTCATTCTCCGTTTGGGGTTTTGGGCATACATGCACATACCCCCAGTGCATTTCAAGCTGCCAAGTCCAGGAGTTGAACCATGGTTGACCATGTGGAAGTCCAGTGCCCTAACCACTATGCCTCCTGCTGGCACCTTAGTCAAATAATTTTAACATTTATTTAATGATTTTTGTTTTGGCCTATACTTAAAGTAAGTATGCTGAAAACGGTTTACTTTTTTTTTTTTTAAAAAAAGAGGATTTTTGCCTTAGGGGCATGTGCTTGCTGGAGAAAGAGAGAGACAGTGAGAGGGAAAGTAAGAAATCACCCTCTGGGGGTGGGAGGATGGCCATGCCTCAGTCCCTTTTCCTTCCAGAATCTTGGGCAAGTACGCACATGTGCCAGGCATGAATTTCAAGCCAGTAGGTCTGGATCTCGAACTGTGGGAGTCAGTCCAGTGACATAACTGCTATACCATTGCTGGCCCCTGAAACAGTCTACTTCCCCTCCCCATCAGTTTTTGCTATAGGGCGCATGTGTTCTCCAGAAGGATAGAGGCAGGGAGACAGAAAGTGAGAAATCACCCCCCCCCAGGGGGTATGGCCATGCTGCAGTCCCTTCTCCTCCATTCTTGGCATGCATACATGCATATGTGCCTGACGTGAGTTTTAAGCCACCAGGTCTGGGACTTGAACTGCAGTCGACCACATGGAAGTCCAGCAACATAGCCATTATGCCAAAATCAGTTTACTTTTAACATGCTAGTCATTTTTAACACTATGACATTAAAAAAAAATTTAGAAAAAGTTAATTCCTGTATTTAGTTTTCCCATTGGGATTTTGATATAGTGGAAAACTTAAAGATAATAGATGTTTATATTTCTAACTCGTTCATATTTTGAACAAAATACTAAGTAGGTTGCCTTTCTATTTCTAGGTTTCTTTTGCATCTCTAGTTGAAGAACTTAAGAGAGTGTAAGTGATAACATGACTATAAACCTGTCTTTGTTTTTCGACTGATTTTCTTAGTGCTCACAAATCTAGTTCTGTTGTGCAGTTGGGACAGTTGATAAATGTTTGTTCAGTTGAACTTTCACACTTGAATCTTTCACTGTTGGAGTAAGTGAACTTAGCTATGTTTTTCCCAAATTCAATGTGATTTTTAAAAAATCTGTTTCTACTACTGATTTATTTTCTTATGGTATCAAATAGCATATTTTCTGTTTCTGTGGTAGAAACCATTAAGGAACAGGTTATCTTGGATAGAGAAAACAGTTCCTTACATGTGTCCTCTTCTTGAGTTGTTGAATGCCATTATTGTATTTAAGTTCTACTGTAGCTTTCAGAGCCCTGGAACTCAATATTAAATAAAACTTGAGTGTCTCCAGTGTTCTTTAGGGCTCAAATCTTATATTCCTTACGTACTTTTGATGTAAATCACCAGCTTCTCCTTGTGTGAATAAGGCTCCAGCTATCTGATAATTGGGTTAATCCTCATTTAGGAGGAACTTTAGGTTTTTTGTTGTTGTTTTCCTGTCTGCAAAGATATGTTGCTATTTTACTTAAAATAGGAAGGTTTTGATTTGGAGAGCCTTTTCACATTTTGGTATCATGTGGATCTTCGTGATTTTTCTTCAAGTTTATACCATATTTCTTTAAGGATCCATGAGAAAGATGGAAAGATCAGGTCTGTGGAAGAGCTTCTGGAAGCTGAACTTCTCAAAGTTGCTAATAAGGAGAAAACTGTTCAGGTATTGGGATAGAGAGAACTGTGTGTCTTTTTTTTTGTTTATCACTTTAGTCAATATCATTTAACTTCATGTGTTTGTCTGCGCATTGCATCTTATGTCAACTTCTGTGTTTCCATTGTCCAATCTTGTCTGTTTTGTCATTGTTAAGGATTTGAAACAGGAAATAGAGGCTCTAAAAGAAGAAATAGGAAATATCCACCTTGAACAGGCTCAGCAGGTAAAAACCCCAGAGCCATATAGCATGTCAGATTTGTTAGTGTGTATGTTATTTATGAGCTATTTGTTTTTTTTTATTGTTACTCAGAAAAAATCTTGTAGTGGTGTGCTGCGAGTATATTGTTATGTGCTATTTATTTTTTGCCTGATTTGAGAAAATGTTTTTGATATTTCAAACAATGTATCTTTTAAAATTATTAACTGGTCAGGGTTCTTTTCTGTAAAGTTTTCTCTATTAATATTTATTTTAGTTTGTCAAGTTAAAAAACACCACTATGGTAAATCTTTTTTAGCTTCTCTCCCTACCTCTCTCTTACCTTCCTCTTTATTTTTAATCCACATGAACCAAAATGCTTTATATTGCTCAATCTCTGTAGAACAAAATGTAAGTTTCATTGGAGGATTTCAGAGGTAGATGTGATTATTGGAAACAGATGGATTTGGTGAATTTAATAAGACTTCATTGAAAAAATTGTGAGGTTGCTTGGAATAGGTGATTTATTCATCTCCCAGTATTTATTGAACTCCTCCTACTTATCAAAGCAGTACGCTATTGATTGGAGTTAAAGTGTTGAGGTATGATAAAAAGGTTATGCTTCTCTAATGTAGATTGAGAGTTCAGGAAAGTCTCCTCCTAAGAAATTGACGTCTCAGTCAAGATCCGAAGGGGCTACGAACAGAGAATGAGGGAGCAAAGGTATCATTGGACTGTGTATTTTAACAAAAGGAGATTATATAAAAGGGTAACATAGAGTACTGTTGAGTAGTTAGCCTCAAAGACTGAGAGGTGGAGAAGAGCTCTGATAGGGTGGGGAAATATATGGCAAGTTAGTTAATGCTTTAATTTCCACAGTTTTATGAGTATCACATTACTTATACTTACTCATAACTGTTTTCCTTATTGACTCTCCCTCAACCCTCAGATATTTGTAGTTTGTTACTTTTACTGTCATTGCAATCAAGAGAAGGAATCACAGCATATCTCATGCTGGCATAAAAATTCATCTAGGATCAGGTTATTTGAAGAGTACACATTATAAAGATTTTTATCATAAAAGTTAAAAAGGTACATTGAATTGATTGTGTATAATGTTTTGTGTCTTTTGTGTTTCAGTTATCTATTGCTTCTCAAGTTCAAGAGCTTCAGAACTTGTAAGTATCATTTCTCTCATTTTCTTTTAATTATCTCCTTTCCATAAGTTAAATATAAGTATTAATATAATAAAATTTTAGCTTATTTTTATTTGATTTTAAGCAATATTTTAGAAAATAGCAAATTATATCAAAGTCTTTATGATTTTTATTAGGTTTTAACCCATGGGTTTTTTGGTGGGAAGTAGGTAAGATGGGAAGTCTGTCTTTTCATGATTTATAATCGGAATATGACCTTAAACTGAATTGCTTATCTTTGCTTGTCATGTGAAATGAGCTGTATATTTTATACCCAAACTAGTTATAATAAGCTGTCTAAATATTTTGGTTTTGACTTAGGGTGATTTAGGATTAGAACTGCCTCACATGTTCATTATCTGAATTTTCAGTGATAGGATGGTTTTCTTTAGCCATCCTAGGATGATTTTCTTTGATCAGCCTGTCCTTTCTAATTTGATTATTTCCCAAGTCTTGTAAACATTTATACTTAAAATAATTTCTAGTGTATTTTAGTTAGTTTGGACAGTGGGTACTACCTCAAATAAACTTTTCTAGTCTCCATGAATTTTACTTTTTCTTTTCTTTTTAAAGGTGTTTGTCATAGGGCATATGTGCTCATCAGAGAGAGAGAGAGAGAGAGTGAGAAAGTGAGAAATCACCCCCTTAGGGGAGATGGCCACACCACAATCCCTTCTCCCCTAGTATCCTCTCGAAATATTTTTGGGCATGTACACATGCTCCATGTGATTTCCAAGCTGTTTGGAATTCAAACCTCAGTTGACCATATGGGAGTCTAGCACCGTAACCACTGTGCCACCTGCTGGCCCCTAATTTTACTTTTTATGATCATGTAACATTGTCATTTATAGTTCTTAATGCTTTATTGTCAGATTAAAAGGAAAAGAGGAACAGATGAACTCCATGAAGATTCTTTTGGAAGAGAAGGAAAAAGACCTAGCTAATAGAGGGAAGTGGTTACAGGTGAGCAGTTTAAAACTATAAGTCATGATTTATAATCGGAATATGACCTTAAACTGAATTGCTTATCTTTGCTTGTCATGTGAAATGAGCTGTATATTTTATACCCAAACTAGTTATAATAAGCTGTCTAAATATTTTGGTTTTGACTTAGGGTGATTTAGGATTAGAACTGCCTCACATGTTCATTATCTGAATTTTCAGTGATAGGATGGTTTTCTTTAGCCATCCTAGGATGATTTTCTTTGATCAGCCTGTCCTTTCTAATTTGATTATTTCCCAAGTCTTGTAAACATTTATACTTAAAATAATTTCTAGTGTATTTTAGTTAGTTTGGACAGTGGGTACTACCTCAAATAAACTTTTCTAGTCTCCATGAATTTTACTTTTTCTTTTCTTTTTAAAGGTGTTTGTCATAGGGCATATGTGCTCATCAGAGAGAGAGAGAGAGAGAGTGAGAAAGTGAGAAATCACCCCCTTAGGGGAGATGGCCACACCACAATCCCTTCTCCCCTAGTATCCTCTCGAAATATTTTTGGGCATGTACACATGCTCCATGTGATTTCCAAGCTGTTTGGAATTCAAACCTCAGTTGACCATATGGGAGTCTAGCACCGTAACCACTGTGCCACCTGCTGGCCCCTAATTTTACTTTTTATGATCATGTAACATTGTCATTTATAGTTCTTAATGCTTTATTGTCAGATTAAAAGGAAAAGAGGAACAGATGAACTCCATGAAGATTCTTTTGGAAGAGAAGGAAAAAGACCTAGCTAATAGAGGGAAGTGGTTACAGGTGAGCAGTTTAAAACTATAAGTAAGAAATACCTTTTTTATACTTGAATATCAGTTTAATTCACACCTATTCTTTTTAAGGATCTGCAAGAAGAAAATGAGTCTTTAAAAGTGCATGTTCAGAAGATAGCACAACATAATCTGAAAGAGGTATAGTATAAACAAATTTCCAGCATACTACATAGGAGTGAGGAATCTTTACTTCAAGTACTGGAAAGTAAAGAAGTTAATATATCCTGAGTTTCCTTGCCAGAAAAGTTACACTGTACCGTAGTTTTGTTATTAAAATAAGTTAACTTTTATTCATGTCAGATTATACTTATCTACCTAATTTGTTATCCCTAAAAGCATTTTCTTATCCTTACTTTTTCAAATGGACTTTTGGACTTATCCTTAACTATCTGTGTTTAATTGGTGTATAATGCTTGATAAATATTGAAATACATGTTGAAAATTCATTTTAATAAAGAAAACTCATTGTTTTATTTTATAAATGGCTTCATCTACCATATTGTGTTTTTATTTTTTTGGTGGAGATTATGATATATACATATATGTGTGTGTGTGTGTGTGTGTATGCGCGCGTGTGTGTTGTAGTACTGTTTTGTTTTATGTTAGCATTAAAAATGTGAATCTGTTTCTTAGGCATGCTCTGCATCACAAGTAGAAGAACTCGAGATTGTGTAAGTATACTTTTAGCCAGCATTTTGAAGAGGAACTTAACCTTTTTTTTCCAAAATATGCTTGAATATTATGTTAGGTTCCTTTTATGTCATTAACTTATTAAGTAGGAATTACAGTCTAGAAGCAAATAAATCTAGTCTAGAAGCAAATGAATCTTTGATAAAATAAAACAGAGGTCATGTATCCTTTCCAAACTCATCGAACTTTATCCTTTCCAAACTCATCGAACCCATTTTCTCAAATATTTTTTCTGCAAATATAAAGTAGTTTTAGAACAAAGTATGGGTTATTATAGAGATTAAATTTATTTCAGATTAAAATATTATTTGAAAGAATAACATCTCTGAATTAACCAGAAGACAATCTTAGCCATAAACTTGATAATGAATATTGACTCTTTCTATAATATTGATAGTGACTTGCCTATGGGGAGAATAGAACTTGTCCTGTTAGTTATCCTGTGATGAATAATAAACATATTGAATCAGATCAGTATAGCTGCATAGCTGAGGTATCAGTCTTTGTAGAGGTTCATCCTAAGAAATCTTTTATCCTATAGTATCTGCTCCTTTAAGCTCATTAATTGTGCAGTGGTGAGGTTTATCTGGACCTCATCTCATAGGACTCCTATAGGATTACTTTTAAGGAATTTTTCTTTGATGTGATGCCATCAGTCTTTATTAATACTTGTTTTAAGAAGCAATCCTTTGAAACTGTGCCTTTAAAAGTACGATACTAAGACTGTTAAGTCATTGTTTTTATGAAAACAGGGGATTACTCTTGCATCAAGACTGTTCATTTGTACAACTGTTATCTTATAGACATTGCATAACTCTTAAGGTGCTTGTCTCTCACTAATAAAAAGCTTAGAGACACATTTGTGGCCTATTTGTAATAGGTATATAGATCATTAAAGTGATTTCAAGTTTGTTTCTGCCTCACATTTTCTTTACCCTTTTCCTTTCCCTTTATCTTTCCCTTTCCCCTTTTCCCCTTTTTCTTTCTTTCTTTCATTAATAGACTTTATTTTGGAGAGGTGCATTTTTAGAGTTACAAAGAGAAAAGTACAGAGAGTTCCTATCCCACCCATTTCCCCTATTATTATCTTACATTAGCATGGTATATCTGTTAAAATTAGTGAGACAATAACAATACATTGTTATTAACTAAAGTTTATAGTTTTCTTTAGGGTTCACTTTGGGTGTTTAAATGAATGTATGGTACATCATTACAGTGTCACAGAATAGTTTCACTGCCCTAAAAATCTGTGCTCCACCTATTCAACTCCTACCCTTATTACTCCTTCCCCTAACTTGAATCCCTGGCAACTAACTACTGACTTTACTGTTACTATAATTTCACCTTTCCCAGAAATGTCAAAGTTGGAATCATACTGTATGTAGCCTTTTGAGATCATCTTTCACTTAATATGCATTTAAGATTTTCTTTCTTCATTCTTTAGCCCTACTCTTTGTGTATACTGTTTTGTCATTTTTCTTTTTTTTGGGATAGGTTTTTGCTATAGGGCACGTGCGCTCAACCAGAAAGACAGAGGCAAAGAGACAGAAAGTGAGAAATCACCCCCCCTGGGGGATGACCGCACACAATCCCTTCTCCACTCCTCTCGGGATCTTGGGCATGCATGCACGCGTGCCCGGTTTGAGTTTAAGCCACCGGGTGCAGGACTTGAACCACGGTCTACTACATAGGAGTCCAGTGATAAAGCCATTATGCCAACTGCTGGTCCCTGTTTTGTCATTTTTCATGTAGACCTGTAAGCATCTTGAAATTCTTTCTAGGTTAAGGTGAGATAGAAATAGTGGTCAATTCAGCAAATACTACGTCTGTTATGTGCCTCTGACACTGGGGATACTGAAATGGATAGAATGGGTTCCTCCTCAGAGGAAATAGCTCCTTTTAGGGTGTAAAATATTAGCTAGAGTTTTGTTGCTTAATGATGACAAAGCAACTGGGATTCAGTTGGGCTAGACAGAGAAAGATTTACATCTAGGTTGGGTAAGGGAGAACCAAATTAAATTATATATGGCATCTCTTCAGCACAAGGGTGGGCATGTGGTAGTTTTCAGAATCAATATATTATGGCTAATATTTTGGGGAGTAAAACTTTTTTAAGTGGTCATTTTTATAACAAGATAATGAAGACAATTTTGCTCTTAGCCTTTGTTTTAGTTTACTCCTAGATGAAGCCAAATTTGTTCAAGAAATGTTAAATACTACATTAGCTATAGCAGTTTTAGGATGTACTTGACTGAGAAAATGATCCTGAAAATATTGTCTTTTAAGATGATCTTAAAAAAATGAACTTAGAAATTATTATATGGAGTGAAAGAGAAAGATCTGGTAGGCTTTTTTTTTTTTTTTTTGATCATCTTTTTTCTTAAGGGCAATTCATTGGAATCTGGTTTTCCTTATATTCATTAGTAACTATAACTTCTTTGTAAAATTCTAGGTTAAAAGAAAAGGAAAATGAAAAGAAGAGAATAGAAGCTATGCTGAAAGAGAGGGAGAGTGATCTTTCTAGCAAAACAAGGCTGTTGCAGGTGAATATGACTACTTAACATTAATTATTATGTGAATTGTCCTTATATGTTTTAAAAGTTTTTTAACTGGTACAAAGGAAATAGAATACAGAGTGAATCTCCTCCTCCCCAGATACTATTGGATCTCTTTCTTCAGAGATAACTACTATAGTTTTATATTTTACTTCCTCCCTCCCAAATTAATAGTGCATTTTAAAAAAAATATCCCATATAAGCACATTCCTGCCTTTAACTTTTAATAGCTTCATGGTACTGTATGTTATATTGTCATTTATATAATTAATCTCAGTCGATGTATACCTAGATTATTTAGGGTGTTTTTTTCTGTTACAAACAGTACTGCAGTGAATATCTCGCATGTACCTTTTGGATACTTTTTGCTAGTTTATCTATATTATAAATCCCTAGAAATGAGATTCAGGGTCAAGTCAAAGTTTTATGCAGGTGTGTTTGTGTATGTGTGTGTTGAAAGAGATAGTGTAAAAAAATAGTATCTTCTCACCTTCTTGTAGTCAGGATTTTTTTTTTTTTTTTGGAGAGGTTTTTGCTATAGGGCGCATGTGCTTGCCAGACAGACAGAGAGAGACATAGAGACAGAAAGTGAGAAATCATCCCCCAGGGGGGATGGTCAGGCCGCAATCCCTTCTCCTCCATTCTCCTCTTGGGATCCTGGGCACGCACGCACACGCGCCTGGCGTGAGTTTTAAGCCACTGGGTCTGGGACGCGAACCGCTGTCGACTACGTGGGAGTCCAGCGACATAGCGATTACGCTAACTGCTGGTTCCCTTGTAGTCAGGATTTTAAGTACTTAGACAACTTTGATTAGAAGTGATGACAAATTTGTAGAAGCCCATATTGTTTTTGACTGACTTTGCTCACATTTCATCCCTCCAGGGTTGGCTCTGTCACATTCCCTCACATTCCCTCTCTCAAGTATTAATAGGTTCATTATTAATTGTGTTAGACGATGCTAAATCACACTGTGAAAGTATTTTATAAACTTATATTTGGCAATAGAAGGCCATTTTTCCCTTTCTTCCTCGCCAATACAGACAAAGATGAAAACATTTGATACTAGACTTTAAAGATAGTAGGGCTGTTTTTAATTTGCATCTGATAGTGAAAGAAGTTAAGCATATGTTTAAGCCATTTGTACATGAATTGTTCTTTCATTTATCCTGCATTTTTCCCTTCCCAATAAAAATAAATTTTTATTGTTTTTAAAAAGTTTCTTCTCATTCATGAGAAAGAAAAAGACAGACACCCTCAACAGAGTCTCACTCTGCTGTCTTCCCCAACATTCCATCCAGCCAGAATGATGGGCGTGAATGTGCCCTGCCCCTCTAACCC